TATATATATATCCATATATATTTTTAAAGAATTGAAAAACCATCGAATAAAATAAAAACCAATACAGTTGCGTTAAAAATTGACGAATTTTTAGAACGAAGACATCATTAACGACTTCCCCCTTCTGATCTGGATGTTTTAGGATATAATGGAGCTAAGGAACGGACTTATTTGCGACGACTCGGATGACGAAGATGATAGTAGTCCAACAAATTCACCGATACCACCTCGAAGAATCGTACCAAGTCCACCGTTACCTCCAAGACGTCCATCGCCATCACCAACGCCGAGTAATCATCTTCGAAATGGTCGTTCGCATTTGGTTGTTCCGAAAGAAAACGCACCACCTCCGCCATCCTCTGTCACCGTCATTCTAAGTTCAACTGCTGATAGTCAACACAATAAAAGTACCTTTCCAATAATATATCTATACGAAATGTCATATTGAAATATTGATATGCGAGATAACAATGAATTTATTGTAGTTAATAACGAGGTGAAGTACGATATGCTGCACAGAGCTTCCTCGCCATCGCAAATGCCACCTGTACCACCTGCGGTACCACCCACAGTAATCAGAGGAAGTGGTCACGTTCGATCATCTCACGGAAATCACGTATCCGCCATAGTTCACGTTCCACCGATATTACCGGAGAAAGGAAATCGTATTATTTCAAATAATTGCACAGCAACAATAACAACAGCAACTACGACGACTACTACTATTATTACTACGGCAATGGCAACAACAGCAACTGCAACTGCAACAACAATAACAACAACAACAGCAACAGCAACTACAACAACAACACCTACTACAACTACAACTTTAGCAAATGTAAACAATGTTGTACCACCGGTACCACCACCCTTATCCGCCCCGAGGCCACCTAAAGGAAGCAAGGAAACTTCGAAACAAGATCACCAATACGAAAATACGATCGTCATACCCGGTACAAGGCAACACGTTGTGAAAAATATCAATCTCGAAGTAAACCGGGCACGTTTGACTGCTCTCATGAAGGCCAGGGATGATATTAATGGTCCAACGAGCAAACCGGAAGCTGCTGCTTACGAAAACGTCAATATTGAACATATCACCAGGCTCACCTCGCTTGGTTTTGCACAGGACGCTGTGATAAGGGCTTTGGGTATCACAAGGAACGATTTTGAAATGGCTTGCGACATTTTGCACGAATTCGCGACGAAATCTTGACCCGGTAATGCAACACTTTGATTTTTACCTATTTAATCTGCTATTATAGATCGTAGATTTTTCTTTTTTTTTTGTTTTCTCGATGTTGAAAGTATACGCGATCAATTGTGTTTTTTATTGTTGCGTTTTTTTCTTATTTTTTAGGCTCGACCACTGCTGGATCATGACCAGTTTTACCCATAAGACATTATTTTTGACGTGGAAAACGTTATTCTTCGATCGTGATATAAGATATTTAGAGACTTCTGTGGTGTTAGGAAAGAATCCTTTAGCCAATTTAACTTCCTATCTATCTTATCAAATATAACTATCTCCCTGTAATTTTTTTTTTTTTCATATAATTTAGCATCACACAATGCTAAAAATATAATTGTATGAGATAACTAACGATGAAGATTGCATGATCGTGATGGAATAACATAAATGAAAAAGAAAAGAGTGAAGAAACGGTGATATTCGTTGAAGTATATTATCTAATAAAAAAATAAATTATTTATAATAATTAATTATATATATATATAACAAAATCACTCTAACGATGTATAATCTTTATTGTTAGTTATGATAAACGTTATCAGAGCACGAAACTACGTACGCATCTCCCATTTGGAAATACCATGGTATTTAAAGGAAGATTGGTAGATTTTGTGCGATAATTTGGGACTGACGAATTCAAGAGAAAAAAATAAAGAATAGTTATAATAGTACTAGAGAAAAAAAGAAAGAAGAAGAAGTAGAAATAGAATAAAGAAAAAAGAACACGTAATTATTTATACCCGCCGAGTACAAAGTATTTTTTTGCGAACTTCACTTACCAACAAGCGTAAAGTGCTACAATCTTTCACTTATTTTTATTTATTTTTATTTTCCCTTTTTTTCTCGCACAATTAACGACAAAAAATTGTTTCTAGATGTACACTTAAAAGTTAGCAAAAAAATAATTTTATTATTAAATTCAGTGCGGAGGTAATGATGATAATAATGACGGTGATGACGAGAATGATGATGACGATGATGGGAAAAATGACAATGAGAAAGTTACACGTACCATGTGTATATGCGCAAATACGTTTAACGTATTTATCAAATGTGATACTTATGTTTGATATGTATACTGCAATAAATGCAGACCCCTTGACTGTTCTGTCGTATCCTATCGATATATAATTAACAAAAAAGATGATTATATATAGTTAAATGATAATTATCATTCGCGTTTAAACACTCCTACGCATTGGTGGGATTAGTATATGAATTGGCTATGCAATGCTATATTGTTATCGATCCTTTCTTATGTAGTTTGCACAACTAGTCGATTATATGAATATATAAATATATATATTTATATATAAATAAATAGTTATGTATTAATAACTACTCTGTAACATATATTTTTTATGTTACAAACTGTACTGATCCCATCGTTGACCTAATGATAATAATGATAATGATAATAATATTAGTAGTACGCGTTATGATCGAAAAGATATATCAAAAGTTATTTTACTAATTTAATTTGATGATCGGTAACCGTACGTATATCGTGGTAATAATCATGCGGATATTATTATTATTCAATTGTTATAAACGTCTCAATAACGATGCTATTCTTTTCAAACTTTATCCTATTTAGTTACTTATTATTTTTTTTTATTATAATTGTATATCCGTTTATTTATCATATATTATAATTGTATATTTTTTTGTATTTATCATTTACAAATCATTCGCAATGAAACTCCTAAGTGAATATTTTTTTTTCTTTTTTATTTAAAATATCACGTTAGGATTCTTATAACAATTTAATATTTTCTAATCCGCGTGTATAATATAAATGACAAATTTTGTAACATAAAGTCTATTTTAATAGCATCGCGCTCGCGAACTTCTATTTTCTACGGTCAATGAAGTAACGTTATTTATTGGATAATAACTTCGTTGTATGTATCATCATCTCATGATTTAGTTGAAATAGGAAATATTAAATTATTTTATCGTTAATTCAAATATCCACAACGTTAAATATATATTAATAATACTTTGGATGTTCTTCAAAGTCTTGGCAAAGTAATAGAGATTAAGTATTTCTTATAAATAATATTCCAAAAAATTATATTTTGAGATTAATATGACGGAAGCTACGTAAGAGGAACCGTATTGGAATTATAAACATTTTTTCATTTCAATGTAATACAAAAATCTGGATGTTGTAGGCGCTCCAAAAAAAAATATCTCTGTAATAATATATTATATATAGAGCTTGTCCTACACATCATTCTACATTCATATCTATACACGTTGACCATGTACCAATTATATATAAAAAGAAAAAAGAAAACTCCCCACCCAAAAAAAAAAATAAAAAATAAAATAATGTCGCTTTATAAATTATTAAAGTAAATGGCACGATAAATATAAACTGGTACGCGCTTTCTTCAACCAAGTTTCTTATGATACTAAGATACGAAAAGTGCTTTTACTATAAAAGAAAAACAAAAAGAAGATTAAAAAAAAAAGACAAAATTATTTGCATCAAAGGTAAACAAGTTTTGTTTCACTCTTATGCATATAAATATTCATCCTTTTACGCCATAAAAATCTACCTCACGATAATGCCAAAGATTACATCATGGATTATATTTGAACTCGAACGAAGACGCAACTGGATTGAATATTATATTTACAAAACAATAAATCTAAATTTCCGTGTGCGATTTTTCAAGATAAAATTGATATATGCAACGTTTGTAACGTAATCATTTGCCCAGACGACACATTGAATTTTTTTAAGATACACACATATAACACGTTTGAAAGCAATCTTTAAGAGAAAAAAAAAACAATTACTTCATAATTACATATCGCATTAAAATATTGAATGTGTTTGAAGTAAATTCACGCGGCAATCACTATCTTTAAATTATATATACGTCTTTTTAGATAGACTTGGTAAGTTTAGCTGCCCTATTTTTCTATATTGTATATTTATCTCGCTGTATCGTGTACGTAATATCTTATTGGCAAAGTAGACAATTTCATGATCCATAAAAGTAGTTTATCCGAATATTCTTTTTATTCTCTATGATGCACTAGCGTTAAAAATTAATCAATTGGTGCAATATTTAGAATAGAATGTGTAGATAGTTTTTCCTTTATTTCATTATTTACTCTGTATAAAAATTGTTTTACTATCTTTCTTGAAATAAAAATAGAATACCGTTTATATAAAGGCCATGTATTATATCTATCTGTAGAATTTATTAGAGTACAACCTTATGTTTAGAATATTAAATAGAAAATATATATATATAGTTAAGTATTGCTAAATATATTATTTTTTTTAAATATATACATATGTACAAAATCTATCTTAAAATATTGAGAGTCTGAGTTTATCTGGAAGAAAATTCCTTTTGCATTTTTTCATATCTTCGCATTTCTTCTTTACTAACAGATGGACTCCAATTATGTATCGCTTGTTGAAAATCTGATAGTTCAACAATTACATGATTAAATTGTTCAAGAATATTTGTAACATTCTTGTTTGCTGTAGTATTATCCTGCTTATTATTGATAATATTAAGAGTCCTACGTGCAGCATTGAGCCAAGCATTGGAACAAATAGAATATAAATCAGCACCGGTAAGATTAACGGGTAAATCTTTTTTAAGTTGCATCAACTCGTTTCCATTATTTAAAAATGTAAATTTATACGTTAATGCTTTTAAGACATTAAGTTCAGAATCAAAATTCGAATGGATTCCAACGTATAATAATTTATCAAATCTACCAGGTCGAAGTAAAGCCGGATCGATTAAATCTGGTCTGTTTGTAGCACCTATAATAAAAATATTACTTGCTTTTTCAAGACCATCCATTTCTGCTAACAATTGAGAAACGACACGATCCATGACGCCACCGCTGTCTCCGTTTCTACCGCGATTAGGAGCCAACGAATCTAACTCGTCAAAGAAAATGATGCATGGTGCTACAGAACGTGCTCTTTCAAATACTACACAAAAATAATTGAAATTAATTATATTATCTTATTTATCATAATACAAATTTTTTGTTTACCTTGTCTAACATTCTTTTCACTTTGTCCGACATACATATTTAAAACTTCGGGACCTTTAATGGACAAAAAGTGAAGTTGATACTCTGTTGCAACTGCTTTAGCAATAAGAGTTTTCCCTGTTCCGGGTGGACCATATAAAAGTATACCAGATTGTCCAAAGCCAAAATTATTCAATAGGGGTAAGCGAATTCTACGAATGATCTCGTGTTTTAAATCTTCTAAGCCACCAACATCCTTCCACTGTACTTTCGGTATACGTGGCATTCCTTCGCAATCCATATTTATCGATTGTATATATTCTAAAATAAAAGAAAAATTATATTTAAAATGTTTATACTAAATAGACTGAGAAAGATAATATAATAAATAATAAACATTATAAAATATAGTAATAATGTTACCATAAGCTTTAACAAAGTCATCCTTTGTTAACGTTATGGTATTCTCAGAACATTGCTTAGTTCTTTTACAATATATTTTTATAGCATGCAATGTCAAAGTTACTAAATCTTTATATTGAAAATCAGAACACAATTCAGCTATTTTTAATAAATCTGCATCGTAATTTATTCTTTGACATGATAACTGCCATTTTATAATGTCCATTCGCTGTTGACGATCCAAACTTTTCAATGTAATAGTTTCAGTAAATATTCTATATAATTCGCCAGGAATTTCAGACCCATCCGAAGTAGCTATTATTATAATTGGATAATTTAAAGTTTTACTGTAAAGATCGTTTATTTCTTTTACGAAAGACGATACAGTTCTTTCGTCTTTCTTTCCTTCAAACGTTTTACCGAATACCTGTATAAATAATTATTATTTTTGTTAACAATATTTAAACAATTAATACATATATATACGAAACATTTGAAATACCTGAATATTGTTCAAGCAAATTATACATGGTGCACATTTATTGGCATTGTGTATCAAAATACGTAATTTTGCTTCGGTTTGCGCTGATATTAAAGTTTGAATTTCTGAAAAATCTACATTGAGTAAATGCAAGCCCGTTATTTCCGAAGTTATTTTTACTATTTCGTTAATTGCAGAACCCGGTGAACCCGTCAGAAGAAACACAGGTTTTACGTGTAATTGGATATCTGTAAAAAATATCATCTAATCTATCTAATAAAATAAAATAATAATAATATGGACACAATTCTCACCACAGTTTATGAACGGTAAAATACAATCTTTCAAAGAATTGGAAGATTCTATCAAAGTTGGCGGATAAGTTTCGAGATAATAATTATAATCCAAATCTATTTTTGTAATTAATTTGTCCAGTAATAAGTAGCTTTTTTTACAAGGAAAATAACTTTGGATATTATTAACTTGTATAAGTGATGTTTCTCCTTGCACGATAAAACAGCCTTTGCTGATCAGATCATTACCAAGTTTTTGAGCTATGATTTTAAAATATACCATAGACGGTATTTGATTAATAGAATATATATGATCCTTTGCATACTCTTTTACATTGATACTGAATACATCTTTCCACCTCAAAAAGCGTGGTTTGGAAAAATAATTTTTTAACAACACATCTATTAAGTTAGTTGAACAATCATAAGGATTAGAAATTAACGAAACTTTAGCTTCGCTCGCAAAGTTAATGATATTATCTATTGTAGGAACTGAAAAATATAAAAATTGTAATTTGTTTTCATCTTACATCAACTATGTACATTGCAGCAAATTAAACTTACCAAGGAAAAGTTTATCATTCAAATCTATACGATCAAACAAATTTTCTAAATTATGTCGCATAGTTTCAGAAACATAAATTACATTTTGTTCTGTGTCTTTGAAAGGTACAATTAATACTTTATACTTCTTATAAGATAACTTGCAACATAGATTAAACCAAGTTGGTATCGATGCTTTAATTCCATCTACGTTTGTTAATACGCATGCATAAGGATCTATGTAATTATTACCATGTTCAATTTGTTTATTTACCAAATGCTTCATAGCTTTATCCAATAACGTAAAGCAATGAATTTTTGTTCTCATTAACCTTTTGAATTTAAATTGCATGTAACATAAAAATATATAACTGAGAACAAAATAAGGATTTTGTCTCATATATGTTTGAATTAATGATTGTAAGAAAATGACATAAAATGACCACGAATACATTGTGTAATATATAAAGAAACAATTTCTAAATAATAATTGTTATTAAATGAATAACTATCAAACCATTTACATTTGTTCCAAATATATGATTTACAAATCGAAATGTAAGTGACATCAAATAATTCTTTTACAGGTTTTATACATAAAAAAAATGTACATAAATATAAGTAGTTAATATATTTAGCAGGAAAAGGAAATGAATTTCATATAATAATTATCATCAATAACACATGATATTGTGTAATCAATGCAAGAAGAATGTGAACCACTGTCCAATAACAAAGAATGCATCGTCATTGGTTAAATGTTTCTGTTGGAAATAAATTTTAAAAGACGTTGCGAACCACTGACGTGGCATCCTTGGACCAATGGGTATCAATTGTGAGTGTTGCTATAGTAACACACGTAGATCGAGAAGTTGCGGGACCAAAAACGAGGTCCCCCTCGTCTAACAGCTGTAGTACTTGCTTCCTCTGTACTGTCGGTAATTTTTGGTTACAGTAATTCGTGTTAAACTAACGTTTAAACTTTATTGAGCTCATCTTTCATGATTTAATTAATCCATTTTGTTGAAAACAAGGGTATTTAATAGTGAAATTGTATTTTGGCAACAGTGTCACTTTACTTCTAGATCATTTGAAAGTGCACCGTAGCAGAAGACATCGAAAACCGTTGGTGGTTTGATAGTCGTTAAGTAGAAACCTAACCTAACATTGTCTACTACGATAGCGTCCTTATTGCAATTTTCCTAGCGAATTAACTTCGAATTTAAATAACGAATGTAATATTAAGAATATTATGCACTATAGTGGTAAGTAAACATATTTATATTACATGTTTAAACGATATTAATGATTATCTTTCGATTCTCTGCTCGATATATGCCGTTGTTTGTGTCACCGATCTCGATTAACTGTTACACCGTTCGTAAAGATGCGTATATGCCGACATCGCACCATTTCTTTATTTTTTAATATTAATTACAATTTGACAAGAGAAATATTCAATTATCATTACGTTTTAATAATATTTTAATCATATTTTTGTTCCTCTGTTTTCGTATTAAATTTTTTACAGGTTATTAATGTAATCCTTTAATCGTGTGAAACATTTAAATGCTATTTGTCTTATTATGCATTTGATTATTTTTATTTGTTTTGTAATTCAACTGAAATATTCTAGTGTTTCTTCTTCAGAGTGTAAAGTGAAAGAAATAAATTGTTAAGCAAGGAATGGATCCTGCAACTGTCATCGCTCTGTGCAAGGAAAACATTCAACCACTTCGTAATGGTAGAAATGCAGCTCAATTGGAAACAGCTTTAAGAGCACAGGAAGATGAAGAGACTCAACAATTACTTCTTCAAGAAAAGCAGTATGTTTTTTCTTTGAATCTTTATGCCTTCTTCTTTTCCTTTTTCTTCACCCCTTATTAATCGTTGAAGAATTATTAAAAAGAATGCGTTGTTCATCTTAGAATATATGAAGATGCAATTAAAAATTACGAAGGAGACGATCCTTTAGAAAATTGGTACGAATATATATTATGGATTGAACAAAGTTACCCTAAAAGCGGTCATGAGTCGCATATTGGAAAATTATTACAACAGTGCTTGGCGACATTCGAAAAGGAAACAAAGTATTATCAGGATCAAAGATATATACGTCTTTGGATTAATTATGTGAGTCGTTGTTTTTCTTTTTAATCTCTTGCACTATAATGAAGACCCAAACATGAAAAACATGAATCATGTTCATAAATATGACATGCAACTCGGTGCATTAAATTGTAGTGCAATGGATTAAAGTAATCGATGAGTATACTTTCATGGAATAATTTATTAAAATACTTTGATTGTAGATAAGTATGCAAAAAAATCCCTTAGAATTATATCAACTTTTATATAATAATGGAATCGGAACGATGGTAGCGGACATGTACAGAGCATGGGCCTTTGAATTAGAACAAATAGAGGATTATAAACAAGCAGATGAAATTTATTTATTAGGCTTAAGAGCTCGAGCAGAACCGTCGGAAGAATTAGATTACGCGCATAAGTAAGAATCGCATTCACTTTAATTGTAATTTTTTATTATTATCAAGAAATTAATTAGCATAGCATAATATAATCATTTAATAAATTAATTCTTATAATTGCACCACCCGTAGAAACTTTCAGTTAGCAGTAGCTCGTAAAACACTTGGACGCATGGACGATAGAGGCGATATATCATTGTTTGAGCAAAGACAAGCATTTAGTTCATTGAAAGCAATCAAAGCTGGTAAAAAGGTTGGTACGATAAGAACTGGACATCGTGTGCGTGATTATTTACCTGGTAGCGTACCTCAGGTTACGCCTATGCCGAATACTAGACCAAATGCTCGAATCCAAATATATCAGGTAAAACGTGATATTAATTGTTAGACAATATTTAAAAACTTTAATATTCGAAGTAAATACAATATGATTTAATAAAAAATATTAGGATGATATGCACGGAGAGATGAAAGGTGCGAGTATATTAGATCATGTACCCATAGAAGATATGATGCATAAAGAAAATACAATTAAACCTGGACCGTGGAACAGCGGTATCAAAAAATCTAATTTGTTGTCATCTTCTGTTAAAACTGCCTTTAAAAGTATTTTATTCATTAATTATAATCTAATATAATTATATATATATAATCTATATATATAATCTATATATATAATCTATATATATAATCTATATATATAATCTATATATATATATATATATATATGTATTATTTATTTAAATATTTAATTACTTTTAGTTCACGAAGATGATCAAGATGATAACGACATGCAGAAAATAAGATTGTTTCCTAATCATACATCATTTTTCGATGGGAGCAAATATTCTGAGCACATACATATACCAGTATATGTACCAGATCGAACAAATTTAAATGTTATACTGAAACCACACTATCCTAAAGATATAGTTTATGCCAATAATATGGATATAAGTATGGAGGAAATTAGAGCTCAACATTATCTTCTTAAAAGGTATTTTATATTTTTATTGAATAAGTTTATTTTATCATTGGCTAATGTTTTTGAAGTATTATACAACGTGACGACTTACATATCAATATTTTCAGTAGACAAAGTCAGGAGATGCAGAAAAAGTATTCTGACTTAGAAATAGATGATAAATGTTCAAGAAATGTTGGTTTACAAAACCATCAAAAAATAATGGAAAGAGAACCTCATAGTCAAAATATTACATTGCAAGAATTACAACAACATAATCTCAAGCTTCAAAGAAGAGTGGAACATTTAGAAATTGAAAGACACAGAATTCAAATTGAGCAAAACGCGAAGCAGCAAGAATTAAAAAGATTAGAAATTGAAAGGATAGAAGCTGAACAAATTGAAGCCGAAAGAATTGATGCTGAAAGAATTGAAGCGCAGAGGATCGAAGCGGAAAGAATAGAAGCGCAGAGGATCGAAGCTGAAAGAATTGAAGCTCAGAGGATCGAAGCGGAAAGAATCGAAGCCGAACGAATAGAAGCGCAAAGAATTGAAGCAGAAAGAATTGAAGCTGAAAGGATCGAAGCTCAAAGAATGGAAGCTGAATTAAATACGCAAAGAAAATTACAAACGAGTTATTTGCATCCGCATCATACGCCATCTTTATCAACGGATAATGAAGAACATTTACTTGGGCAAAGTCTCACAGTAAATACAAAGGAAGCGATATCAGCTGTTCAAGATTTATGGCATTCTCCAAATATTACACCTGCTACACCACGTTTTCGTAATTCCATAACACCTCGAATGACAGATTCTAGAACAAAATTATCTTTTGACATTCATATGGATAGTTCCATGACACAGCATGCAATGTCTAATAAACATCATCAAGGATTTAATATACAACCTTACGAAGATCAAGAAAATCATCAAAGTTTTCATACTTCTCATCAGAGTTATGTCCCTTCGGCACAACACACGCCATACGGAAATCATGGATTACAAAATACTTATCATTACCCAATACCGGTATGATAATAATTTTTATATTTAAACAACAAATTGCATATAAATAAAAAACAAAATAAAAATAAACTTTATTTCAGCATCACGATCAGCAGGTACAACAACTGTCACATCATCCACACCACCAAATGATGCACCCACCTCAACAACCACACCAACAACCACACCAACAACCTCATCAACAACCGCACCAGCAAGCGCACTCATTGCATCATCAATCCCTTTCTCAGTCTCAACATCTTCAATCGCATTCGCAACTTCACCATTCCCATTCGCAACTACATCATTCACCACACAGTCAACATTTGCAACATCAGCAACATCACCCACACCATCATATGCAACAAATGCAACATCCTTCCTTTGGCAATATGTTACCAAATGATATCGGATATCAACAATATCCACCCTCATTGGATCCAGCTCTTTTACAACAAAATTCCGAACCTCAAAAACCATTACATTATTCGTCGTTCAGCGAACCTAACGTCGAAGCTAACAAACCTTATAGAATGCCTCCTGAACTACCGTATATCAAATCACCAGGCATGAATCGTAGAGACTTAAAATATTTGGAGAATGCTGAAAATAAAGAAAATGCTATTGTTGTTGATTATAATGGACCACCTGAAGAAAACATGCCACCAAAATTAACAGAAGAAGATAACTTGTACACAGATGATAATCTTGGTATATCACCTTTATCAGGACCTGACGAAACTTGTTATACCGAGACATTCAATGCTTTATTAAGTAGTTCTACTCCTATGACTAATCATTTTAGACTATCGCATAGACCAAAGGATGTGCCACAATTTTCAAATCAAAATGTTCCACATCACACGTATGTGTATTTTCCTTAGAAATATATTTCTAATAATTAACTTATCAATCTAATAATATTAATATATATATATATATATCTTTTTTTTTGTTTTAAATAGAATTCCAGATGTACATAATGGTAACACAGAGGAAAAATTAAGCGTCATAATGGAAACAACTAGAGAATACGTTTCAAGCAGCTCAGCATCTAGTGCTAATACAAGAACAGCTGCCTTAGGATTTACATTAACAAGAGAAGAAATGAGTCTGATTAAAGAATCGAGTATACGTAAGTATATATTCATTCGTCCTAGATTAAATATTGTGTATATTAACATTGATCATTTTTTTTATTTTACGTAATCCAGAACAAATCCCTAACGATTCTATACTAGTGGGCAATCCACCATACGAGCAAAAAATGCGCGCTCAAATGCAAGCTATAAATGCTCAAAGTCCACGCACGGTACAACGAAATGTGGATCAAATAACGTCTGAAATAAAGAATAATTGTGACTTACGAAAATCTATTACCTTTAAAATGAACAGTGAAATAGACAATCAAGAAAAAACAGATACTATGGAATGCGAAGAGCATGAACCAATGGAACAAGTGGAGGAAGAAATCTTTCAACTTCCTTCCGGAAATATTAATCCTTTTGATAAAAATTTAATTGCCGGTCTTTTAAGAAACATGAAATTTCCGCAACCGCAACACGCAGAAGGATATGTGAGAATAAATACTAATTTAAATAAGCTTGTGCCTTCAACTATCATTACGCTTGGTTAGTAAACTATAAATAATATTATTATTATTATACAAAATATATTAGATAGTGAATTCATTTTCTTATTATTTTCTTAAAGGACCAGAAGCGTATAATTTGGAAAAGTGCCTTGGGAAAGGAATGTACGGAACAGTTTATAAAGCAGTAAATATGCAAACAGGTCAAACTGTTGCTTTAAAGACCCAAAAGCCTGCATGGGTTTGGGAATATTACATTATTAGGGAAATAAAAGCCCGCCTTACAAATGCACATATGGTATGCAGTATGGACGTTAAATTAATAAGTTTATTCAATTACCATTTATAATTATTTATATTTTCGATTGTTATTGATTACAGCTTCGAGGATTTATGGATGTTTCAGTAGCTTATATAACAAATAACGTCAGTGTACTAGTTTCCGAATATTCCAAATTTGGAACGTTATTAACAGTAACTAATCAATTTAAATTGTCCTCTGGTAAACTATTAAATGAATCACTTGCTATTTTCTTTACTATCGAAATGCTTCAAATTGTTGAACATTTACATAAATGCCAAATTATACACGGGGATATAAAACCGGATAATTTCTTATTCATGCGATTGTAAGTATTTTTACGTTTTTAATAATGATTCTTTGTTAATTAACCCTTTCGCATAGCATGACCCATATATAGGTTGCTAGCAACGAAAGGATTAAACAAAACAAAAAAATAAATTACATTTGGATTTGAATTTTATTTTTTATAGACCAACAGTAGACGTCAGACCAACGATACAATTGATAGATTTTGGATGTAGTATAGATATGAGCTTGTTACCAGAAAAAACAACGTTTACTCATATCATTAAAACGGAAGAATTTACGTGCATTGAAATGCAAACTGGTAAGCCTTGGACGTATCAGACGGATTTATATTGTTTAGCGGCAACAAGTCATTGTTTGTTATTTGGCAATTATATGAAAGTGTCTAACGTTGGTGATCGTTGGTTTATAAATTCCAAGTTACCGAGGTAAGAAATGATTTTGAATTCGAAATAATTTAGCAATGATTTTCCAATACTAACACTTGCAATTTTAACTTTAAAATCTTTTTCATTTATTATACACAGATATGCAAAGAAGACTGCTTGGGAATCGTTCTTTACAGAATTATTAAATATCGAATCGTGCGAAAAATTACCTGACTTGTGTAGATTACGAAACGTAATGGAGGAAGCTTTACCACCCGTGCCAGAATTACAATCAAGGCTTAGACATTTCTCTAATATACTCAACAACCGATAACGCTTACTTAATTTGCTACAACAGATATTATTATTATTATTATTATTATTATTATTATTATTATTATTATTATTGCCCGATGTGTATAACACACATTTAGTAAAGAACCAACGTTTAATAAGAAACAACAAGATTAATATTATTGTACTATTTATTGTAAAAGTTACTATTATAGAGTGATATGTGTACTTCACAGTTACAGTACATGAAATGCACGTTCTATGATGGCCTGCTTTGTGGAGGTTTTATTGATTTATAATATTGCTTGCACATAATCAATAATATTAGAAGCGTAAATTTTTATTATCTGTCGAATGTTTATCATCAATCTTTTAAATATTCTCTCTTTACCGTAGTTTCGTTCCCCTTTTTTTTCTTCGTTTAATTATTACTACTATTATTACTATATTTTAATCTTCTTCATCATCATGAATTAATGTCTTTCAAAATACCTCGTGACATATAGTACCTGGACGTTAGAGTGTGTTGTCACGCAAAGTGTGTAAAAGAAAGCAGAGAATAATTGTATTATAAGAATTTAAGCAAAGAAAGACAAGACGAATTTAGTTGGAGATATTGATAGTACAATGTTCGTGTGATAAATGTACGAAGGCACATTAAACATTTAGGGACATGCAACTGCAAATGTAAAAAGTTTAATCTCTCACGGCATAGTTGCATTCCGTATTATACTCTATCTGTCTCTCTTTACTTAGATGATTAATATATAAATATATGTATGTAATATTTATAATATATAGGTTTTAAATATATGTTTTCTTTCGAATCTATTCTTATCTCTTTTTTTGTTAATTTTTGAAATCTCCAACGCAAGTTTTCTATGAAAAAAAAATAGTAGAATATATATACGCATTAAAATGTCAAACATTATTTAGTTGTTCTTGGCACATTTTGTTTCCATTTTTTGAAAAAGAATATTATTACGTTTGGTACATAATATAAGCATATGCCTGTTAAACGAAGATATAAATGTAAATGAAATAATATGTAAAACAGGAAGAAAACATAAGATATAAAATGTATAAGATGTTTCATTAATATTCCAATCAAATGATAAAAATCCCCTTGCTTAAAATATTTCTAAGAGCTTCTATTTTGAATGTGTGCAGGCTTATTCTCATTGGTATCCACTAAACAGGCCTTTAAATAATAAGTTTTTTAAATATAGAATATATGAATATGTAAGTAAGAATATATATATATATACAATAATATAATAATGACTTATTTCAGGTTTGTGTTCAAATCATCTTTCCTATGTTAAATTTGATACAAATAAGCAAAAACAATAGGCTAGTGCCTAATATATTTAAATTATTTAATTTTAATTATAACTACAATTATAGAAATATATATATAATAGATATATATAATAAATATATAAGCCGTTTATCTTAAAAGTGGCATGAGTCACTTCTTTTTAAATGAAGATATTTAAAGATTGCGTTTTAACGTATTTTAAAATATTCGTGCCAACTTTTGAGAAAATTTTACTTGTATTCGTTATCTCGAATATTTAGATTTTTTTTCAGTATAAATAATTTCGTATATTAATTGAAAAGTCACCATTTTTTATTACGAGATTTACGCCACTTTCGAAATAAATGATTTAAAAAAATTACTGACATATTTATTTTGTCCGATACGTATATTTCTTAAAAATGTACAGAGATCCTTTTAAATTGTAATTTATCTTATCGTTGACTTGATTTTTGTTGAAAAAGTAATTTACTTATTACACCACTTTCAAAATAAAATATACGTATACAGATAATCATCGGCAACCTATTGTTTTTGCTTCACAAATCGTAATATATGATTTATTTCATTTGGATGATGCCACGTGTGTGTGTTTTAAATTTATATAATATTGACCTTTTATGTTAAATACATTTGCAATTAAGTTCTATAAAATATATGAATTATAAAACACGATTAAAGTTACATACATTAGATGCAAATTAATTCTATCTTTCTTTCTCTCTTTATTTATAATTGAATTTTAATACAAATTATATAATAAAATTTGCAAAATACATATAAACGTACCATTAAAGAATTTGTTCAATCTAATCTACAATTTTTTTAATTAAAAATAATTTCAGTAGCGATGTCAATAATATTCATTAAAATCAAATATAGATAAAATATACCTACATGTATACCTAAAATTACTGCAATGGCGTCATCGAGATCAAAGTTATTTTAATTAACTACTTTTCATCTTCGCTTAATTAATTTCATTATTACTAATATTACTAATATCGCTAAATGAAATCAGAAATTGAATCTAAAAATAATATATACATACATACACAAAAAAATATAAATACATATATAAAAATATACGTAATTTTATATAAACACAAAAGCTTACATAACATGCAAATGCATGTGCGTAAATTAATGTACATTGCGTTCCGGGAAATATAAAATAACGTAAGTTATTTTATAAAAATCTAAAGTTTATCTTTTAAATATACGTCCATATTTTTTTCGTTACTTTAAAAGACCGAATGTCGATGCACTTTTAAAATTGATATAATATATTTGTGTCCTCTGTACGAGGATTAGGCAGATCAACTTCCACTCTATAGAAGTACATGCATATACATGCACTAATGACATTATTAACGTATAAGCCCAATGATGTTGTAAGTGGTATTAGTGGTAGTAACTGGAATAGTAGTATTAGTAGTAGTAGTAATCTTTGAAGAGGAAATGCTAAAAGAAGAAGGGAGGAAGGGGGCCCAGATCCCAGATAAAGCGTTTGACCCTCGCCCCTTCAATGACCTGACAGAGATATCGTTAGACTGAAAATCACTGATGTATCATCTACCACAGTCATATGTGTGTTCGTCGAACAGCAAACAAGCCATGCTGTTGCTGATCACAGTCCTTCAAATATTTCGAAACGAATGAAATATAGTAAACTATGTTAATCGTATAAACGAAAAAGTATTTATTGAAAATATTCATATTATTTACCCGAGAAAAAATAATTCATTCAATTTTATTATTTCGTTGTTACATTTATTATTTTATCTTGTTAGTTTTGTCTTGTACAAACATGAGAGTTTTCTATCAACTTTTCTTCCTCCTATTCTGTTCTTCTTTCTTCGTTTGCCAAGCTGAAGATACCAAAGTTAATGGTAAGTTTTTAACGTTTCGTATTTATAATTTACGATTTTGTAAAATTCGTTTGATAATATTTATATCTTCTTTATAAATTAATAAAGGGATTTAATAAGTGTTTATATATTTTCCAGCGACAGAAGCGGAACAACTAGCCGCTGGTGAGAAACGTCTCGGTGATCATATACGTGCGATCTTGAAACATTATCAACAACATGATCCAGTTGGATTACCCGGTGCACCAATACCCGATCCCATGCCAGTGCCCGATATGAAACATTCTTTTTCCATGTACACCATGACATTCAAACAGATCAACGTTTACGGATTATCCAAATTCCGTATCGAACATCTCAAATCTGAATTAGCATTGATGCAGGTCTTATTAAAATATATCTAAAATATTATATTTTTCTTTTTTATTGAATAAATAATTAACAAATGATTCTCAATTTTTCTTTTTAAGGTTTCGGCTGCATTGAGTATTACGAGACTCGATATTCGTGGATTGTACACCCTGGCATCCTGGCTATCGAGATCAGCTGGCAACTTTACTGTTATATTAACAGGAGTAAACATCGAAGGTGTAGCAAGATTGGAAGTTGGAGCTGACGGTAAATTGCAAGCTCAGGACATTGACATGGACTTAACTTTTGAAAATATCGACATGGACTTCAAAAATCTTGGCTTTTTGGGCTCCGTCTTTCAAGGTGTTATTAACTCAGTAGGAGCTTTTATATTCGATAGTATCAAACCGTTCATTTTGAAGGAAGTTAATACTAATATGAGGTAAATATACGACTAAATTATGATCTCTTAAGGGGCACACCTAGTGTGACCGCCTAAAAAAAAGGTGATTTTTAAGAATTTTTTTAAAGAAAACTACTGCATGAAATATTTTAAAATTTAGAGGATATATTTATACATAATTAACGAATATTCACTACAATTTTCAAATAAAAAAAGGTAATTTTCAGCGAGTTATTCGCTATCTCCCAAGTCACTATAAAAAAACGGCCTAAACGGCTGCAGTGATTCCGGCCTTCACCGTAAATGAAATAAAAAAAAAATACTGTTAATCTAGAAAGTATTGCCTATACAATGACCTAAAATTGTGAAAAAAATTGAAATTTAACAAAATGACAGACTTTAAAAAAAAAATCGAATTTTGCTCAAAATTTTGATGATTTTTGGCCCGCCAAAATTACATTTTTTATACAATTGAAAAACTTTTAGGTCATTGTACAGAGAAACATATACGAAATAAGCAGAAAAAAAATCAAAGCGATCGGATGATTCTTCTTCGAATTACAACTGCAGCCAATTTGAAAAATGTAGTTTTGAGAAAAACGCGTTCAAAGATAAAATGATTGCTTTCTAATCCCTGAGCGGCTACTCTTTAGAAGGCTGTAACTCTAAAACTATTTGAAATATTTATTTGAAATTTCAGTATGTTATTTTTAAAGATATAGACTATCAAAATATGCACACAAAAAAAATCAATTTTTTCAAAATTTTACACTAGGTGTGCCCCTTAATTAGATCAATTTAATAAGAAATTTTGTACAAATAATTGTAGAGGCGAGGTGAACAAACAGATATCCCAGTTGCCGCAATATTTCCCCAATTCGATATCACCGTTTGACATGGCGGTTGCCGAGGGTCGTAGACAAGTTTCACAAATGGGCTACGATCCGTATAGACTTAAGGATTATAGTCAAAATGTTGGTATTTTTACTGTTATGTCATCGCACACTTGGATCACCGGGTTGGCAAGTTTTTATCGTATGGGTAACATTACCCTTAGCATGGAAAATCGGACCGTAAGTTTACCATAAAAGATCTAATATATTTAAATTCCGGTAATGTCTGGTGGGACTCCTGACACAATGAATTGAATTTTTGTTTTATTGTAGGTATATGCGGTCTTGGATGTTGGAACACAGGAGATTGAAGGAAGAACGCATTGGGAAGTAAGCGTAATTGGTGGCGTCCTGTCGAGAGCAGGTACAGTGTCCTTCACTGTTCAATACTTCAGAGTTCAACTAAACCTAAGCCAACCACTTGACACACGCAAACGACCAACTTTGGAAGAACTCGATTTGGAATTAGGCAACATTCAGGCACGAATACACGGTGCCGGTACTCTCGATTATGTTATGGAAGCCAGCATCAATATACTGCCAAATCTTTTGAGGTATTAATCGATTATCGATCATTCTAAAGTTGACAACAGATCGTGTGTATGCTAAAAATGTTATACAGTAGGACCTAGATTCACCGAGGTTTCGGTTTATACAAAATTGTTCGAGTTAAGTCAAAATGTAAAATAAGATTTTGATTTATTCGCATCATTAATTGTCCCTTGGTCACGCTGTTAATCGATGTACTTTATTGTTATTAAATATTTGAATTGTTTAAAAATTATTTATTTTATTTGTAGGTATCAAATAATGGACGCAATCGAGGGACCTCTGAAGAGACGAATACAAGAAGAATTAAATAACATAGACGTCGAGAAACTTATAAATGAAAAAATACCGGAAATAGAAGAACACGCGAAATTCTTGCAAGGATTATCTCCACCTGACGAAATTATATTAGAGGATCCTGTACCTCCCCAAATGCCGGACGATCTGACTCCGTTTTCGGAAAGCGAAGAGGAACGAGGACCCTCGTAAAATTTTCAACTTAAATAAAGAGAAAGAAAGATATTAAAGAAAAAAAAAAGAAATACATTTCCAAAGAAGTTTTAATCTTCGAAGAGAAAAAAGGAACTATGTAAACACTCGATGTTGACTTAGAGACGTTAATTTTAAAATATATCTAAATTTTGTTTTCCAATCAGGTGTGGCTTTTTGCCAGAAAGTTTGCTCGCTATTTACTGCAACACGTGCAAGTGTGCGCGCGTGTACGTATATGCAGTTAATACTGTAATGTAAGTCAACTATGTAACAGGTACAGGGAATGATAAAAATAAAACTTCCAAGTGTGATTAAAGTAACAAATTATTCTAGGATATGATGTAACATGTGCTCTGCTTGTAGATAAATTATAAAAGAATACGTAGGTAGTTACGTAAGAGGAAAAACCAAATTTGGAATGTAGTTTTGTTAGTCGTCAATAATGAGATTAATATATTTTTTTCTCGATATGGAGAAGATGCATTGCTGACTAACAAATAATTAAAAAAACAATAATAACAATAAAATGGAAAAATAAAATGGAATAAATGGAAAAAAAAGAAATTCAGAGAGAAAAATATTTTATATACGAAACAATATTTTATTTTTTGAAAAGCTAAGAAAATTAATAATATATTTTCGAATATCGAAAATCACAATTTGGCTTATGATGTATAACAGGGTGTCTCAAAATTATTTTTACCAAGAACTCTAGTGCAAATCTTTGAAAACAAAGAAACAAATCTTACACATTGAGACTTTAATATTTATATAATAAATTAATCCATTGTTCTGTTCTCTGTGTAAAGTAATTTTGGCGATACCCTTTAAATATAATTATGTGTATGTGTATGTGTGTGTATGCATGCAGAAGATTTTAAATATCTTTTTCTTTAACGACACTGTTACGCAGTGTTATGCATTCGGTTCTATCGGCAGAATCAAAAGCTTATTTTTAAATAAGTATGAAGTCATTTTAATGAGACATATATATACACATAAATTGATTACAATTATCCCACAATAATGATTCGCAGAACGTACCTATTATCTGTGTAATGCATTATTAAAACTTTACTCTTAAAAAAAAAGAAAATAATTAATTTAATGACATTCAAATTAAACACAATCGATGATTATAAAGCGTGAAAAAAAAATTAGCAAAAAATAATACAGAGGCCTTCAAACATACTTTTGATTTTCAATGGATAACATGATATACAATAATTTTCATTTGTATAAATAGCAATATAAATTACATAATTAAAATTACTACAGATATCCGCGAATTTTTGTTTGGAATAATTTTAAATTCATAAATAAATGGAAATACAAAAAGAGAACAAAATAATGAAATTAAGTAATCATTAACATTTCGCTAATATTAATCAGCTGATATTATTGACAATATTAAAAAAGCAAAAACATTAACAATTAGGGTTTAAAGTTTGGTAGTTTGTTTTGTTTCTTCCTTTGTTATTTTAAACGCCTTTGATGGCTGGTCTGTTTTGACGTTCGATCGGAACAATTCTTTCCCCAGGAGCAGGTAAAATAAGTCTTGGCGCGGTTATACTTAAAATACCATCAGAAGACAAGCTGGGTTTAACATGGCCAATATCGTAACCTTTAGGTAATTGATATCGGCGTACGAAATGTCGCGAAATGTAACCGTGTTGATCTTTTCTTTCCTCATGTTTACCCTCAACGGTAATACATTGGTTATCGGTTCTAACTGTTATTTCTTCTGGTGCAAATTGTTGGACATCTACGATGACCCGGTAATTGTCTTGATCCTGTTCAATGCTCGCCGAACCTCCAACTTCTTCTTCTATTTCCTTCCAAGCATTTCGCATAGGAGCGAAGAAATCTTTAAACGAAGTCATTGATGGCGGTTTCATGGAACCATCCCGGTTTGCTATACGATTAAAATGTTCGTCCAATTCACGATGATAACGGTCCATGTCGTGCCACCAGTTACGGAAAAAATCAATCGGTACCAATGCCATTTTTTTTAATTTCTTATTTCTTTTTACTGCTCTGTCTGTTTATTTGTTCGCAGAGACTCTATAGGAATCAACAGAATATCAAAGTTAACGTGACTATGTGCTTTATATTTTTATCATCGATAGAACAGCATTTGGATCGCTCATATTTCGTATAATAAATGTTTTCAATAATGTTAATTATCAATAATTATTAGAAATAGAAGATGGGAAGATTTGAATTAAAAATGCAAATAAAAATAATACGTTAATATTAATTAAATGTGACATTGACATTCAAACCGGTAAACATATTCTGATTTCTTACTTGCGTTATATTTGTAACGTCGCAATAACGTAATTACGACGTTTGAATAATTTCAGAATTTCTTATTCAAAATGAATACTTTCGATCAAAAATTAATAGTTTCTTTCTGTAATTTCTCCACTTTCAATAATTTTGTAATTAAACCATTTTTAACAGAATCATAAAAAAAAAATAAATTATCACGGTCACCTTTCAAAAGAAATAACGCTGTCGATTGGTCGAAGCAAATCAGTGCGAGCGATATCAACCAATAATCGAACAATAGATAAATAATCTCGAGAAATGAAATTAAAAAAGACATACCTTTGAAATCGTTAATAGTCTTTCGTCAATCTCAACAATTATTCACACACTTGTATTTATTCGTTTCACTTAGTTAAATCAACGTAGTAAATACTCAATTTATGTAGTAAGATGAACTCTTCGTATATCTCAAAGTATTCTGATCGCTTTTCGAACTTGAACTAACTGCGACGTACGACTCCGCCGCCGTTTTATATCAACCAATGACAGCCTTTCGAGAGATTTCTAGAAAGCACATGCGCATATCGAAGTTTCATTCTCAACGACGACCTTATTACATTAATCACCCTAATGATAAAAATATCTTTGAGGTATTAATCTAACAATTGTTTTTCTTTTTCTAAATTACTAATATAGATTGTATATTTTCTATGTTATTTTTTTATCGTTTCACTTTTATTTAAACTAAAGTTATAGTAATTTAAATATTTGTCGACTCTATTGTAAATTATGATTTATGAACTATCATTTTTTTCGATGTAAACATTTATCTTTGCATAAAAATATCATTCTATTTACAGTTAATTACTTTAGCCATTATTTTTAAACTATTACTACTTAGTACTCTCCTAAATTTTATATAAAATTATAATATCATACGTAACAACATATTTTTAATTTGTTCATCATATTTTTTATTTATTTGCATTACTTCTAATATTTTTAATAAAACAAATGATCAATCTAGATATTTCTTCATAAATTGATGATATGTGAAAGTAAACAAAATTTAATAAAAAAATAATAAAACTCAAAGGTGGAGAAAAATATTGACTGAATACATCCCTGGCACGACTGCTGCTCCATCTAGTAGCCACGACTCGCGTTAGTTGCATCTTTAGATCTTCCTACTCATTCACGTGTTTCATATATTGTGTATTATTCTCTGCATATCTTTCGTGAAGCGCATAACAACGAAAAGATGTTTCTCATTCTTTCCTTTCATACCAATTTATTAACGTAAAAGAAATTCTGGCTCGATTCGAAATGTTACTTTCTATATATTCACAAATTTGCACATCAAAACATTTAAACATTTATACAAAATTATACTTTTTCTATTCTAGATTTCAATAACATTAATTCAAAAGTATTTTAAAATTTAATTACGAATGAATTTCAAATGAACCGAAAATATTTGATTCTAATAATAAATCAGTATCTCGTACGTTTTAAGTTAAAATATTTTTGACAATGTTTACATAATAATAATAACATGTTTTTTCTAGAAAATTCCAAGAATTTTCCAATGTATTTTTAAATAGATTAGATTATCATAAAATGCGTATCGATAATTATTACGGAAAGGATGAATCTGTTTATATTAAAAATTCAAAATAAAAATCCATAAAAATATCATCTGTCAACCATTTTTGTATATGACAAATACGAAGTTAGATGAATGACAATAATTATGCATTGAGTAATCATGCATATACATTAACTTCCTTATACGGATTAGGAGATTGATTAATCACGTCCAATTATAATCTAATGTTTATATGTTTCTTTTCTATTTAAAATTATCTTCCTACAAATACGAGGATAGGTCGAAAAGTTTAAAACCTCGCCAGAAAAAAATTTTAATTTTTTATTAAATTAAAATGAGCTTGACCGAAACAAAAATTATTTGTTAGGTTCCAAACTTTGCCTTTTTCTATTTTTGTTCTATTGAACGATTTAAAAAGAAAAATTCGTTTAAGCAAATTTAATTTATTGAAGAAATAAGTTTCAAAATAAAAACCTTAGCCGCACCTTTTCATTACTAATCGTCAAATGTAAATGAATGTTTCCTTTTTAATAATACGAATATAAATAAATTAAACTAATTTAAGGTTATGTTCAAATAAGAAACGAATAAACGATGACATTTAAGTCTCACGTTGAAACATAATATTGGAACGTAAACGTCATTCTCTTAAGCTTTTAATACTATAGTATTTTCATTGCAATGGAATCAAAAGAGTCATCGCAGAAAATTTTCATCCTGGAAATCGTCCAAAAATATATGCTCGAACTAAAACAAATCTTTCACAAATTCGCGCTTGAGACGCCATCTTGGGGTTGAACTAGGTAACGTACGAACTTTCACGAATGCTCTCGATCATTGTCGAACTCGTAACGAGGTAAAATTTAATCTTTTTATTCGGTATTTTTCTTTTTAAGAACATGAAAATAAAATATTAAGCATTATTATTACTATTTAAGATCTATTTATGATTATTTCTTTGAAGTAGTCGATAAAATTTGATTACAATCGTTTTATATTACATAAGATAAGAAAATATTCTATTACTTTCTAGAACATCCTCGAAATCCATATAGTTTTTTTCAATACAGCTATTATTTTAATAATAAATAGTAATATTGCACATAGTATCTATTACAAAATGTGACCATTTTTTAAGACTTCTATTACAGGTACAACAAGTCTAAAGAAATCTATTTATAAACTTTAAATTATATGCGAATGTTAAAATCAATCAAACAGTAGTTTATAGATTTCATCAGGATATTAAAAATATTCATTGAATACCATCAACATTATTAAAAAAATAAACTATGGCAAAAAGTATAAATATATAAACTATAAATAATTTGTACTATGGAAAATTCTTTTAACAATTATCAATAGACAAATTTTACAATTGTCAATCAATATTTTTAGAAGATAAAATAATATATATCAAAAATAAAATTCCGTATTTTTTCTATAAATTAGGTGGGTTTATCAACAGGTTGTAAAACTTTATACGGATTAAGTATTCCTCTCGGGTCCATAGTTGACTTAAGTTGTTGCATCAATTCAATTTCCGATTGTGTTCTGCTCAAATGAAGATATTTAGTTTTTTTAAAACCTATACCATGTTCTGCACTAACGCTACCGCGAACACTAGAAATATATTCGAAAATGAATGGTTCTAATTGCGCCGCTATGTCTTCCTGGTACGTTGGTATTGACACTTGTATATGAATGTTTCCGTCACCTGAAAAATAAATATAGCATTAAAATTAATACAAAATTAAATGCGTAAGATTACTGTAAGTAATACAATAATTATTATTATTAATATATCATACCTATATGACCATAACCACTTATTCTAATAATACGCGGATCGCGTAAGCGTTCTCTTAAAACTTCAACAATTTTATAAAAATATGGAAGTGGCAATGAAACGTCGTACTTAAAAACATACCCTTCACGTAAAACACCTTCGCTAATTCTTTCTCTTAGAGCCCAGATATTCTGTAAAAAGAAAAAATTTTTTTGATTTCAATTTGTCTTTGTAACATTATAAAAATATTTCAAGATTATCGTCACCTTTATTTTCGTATTATCCGAAGTGAGAGTGCCATCTTGCACAATATTTTCATTAAGAACTTTTTCAACGAACGCAGTGAGTTTCTCTTCGTCGTGTGCCGTGTGACTACCGGATGTCTCCAACAATACGTAGAAGTCATGATCGCGACCATCAACCGTCAGCAATGGATTCTGAAGACCCAAAAGTTTAGTCGAAACATCGATCGACAATTTGTCCATCATTTCGCAAGAGGATAAAATTTCGGCCAATTCTTTCTTAGCCAAATGATAAATTTTCAATACGTTGTCAAAACTGTTCAATCCTGTTTTCAATAAAGACAATCAAAATTAATAGAATCAAATGTATGAACAAATATGAAGAAAGAAATAAACAAACGAAAAGGGGGGGGATGAATTCTTCTGATATGAAATTTTAAACGCTCTCACAGATAACGATCTCCGAATTTGCAACGACACCGTCGCGCGAATTAATTTTAGCTGTCCCATTTTATCGTAACGATGTTAATTCGAAGATCGCTTGACCTTTCGCACATACCACGTTTATATAAAGATGCGAGAAAGTCGTGCTGGAAGTTAATTCGCTTTTAGAATTGTTTTTTTTTTTATTTATATTTTTAACAACCTTGACTCACACTTATACAAAAATTCAGTCATGATAATGAAATTTTGAAATTTGATCTCGGTTCAAATAGGATCTTCTATAGAATGACTAATATTAAGAAAATACAAATTTTTATCGATATTTTATTAACGTTAACTTCGGTGATACTTGGAAAAAATGATCGTATTCACAATTTTTATTTATTTATTACTTACCAAGAAATGCGACATTTATGGCTTTGGGTAGAGGCGGACATTGCACAGCGACTTTCGTTACAACACCCAAAGTTCCTTCCGAACCGATAAATAGATGCTTCAAGTGATAACCAGTGTTATTTTTCTTTAAACCGTTCAAACAGTCCACGACGTCGCCATTAGCTTTTACCTGGAAAATAAATCTTTTTCAAGCGCGAATAAAACACAAATATGAAGTGAAAAATATATGAAATTTTGTGAACGAACTTACGGCCTCGAGTCCGAGGATATTTCCATGTAAATTACCATAACGAAGTAGCCTAAGTCCGCCAGCATTTGTCGAAACGTTGCCTCCAATCAAGCAACTTCCTTTTGCACCTAAATCTAGGGGCATCATGAGACCAAAAGTAGATAAATGATTATCCAAATCCTCGAGAACGCAGCCAGCCTCGCAAATAATCACACCTGAGCCAATGATCAGAAAGAAAGAAAATAATAAAAAAAAAACAAAAGGACAGGTGAGAACGTTGATCAAAAAAATTGATATCCATCTCAATGGCTGTTTCATTTCCTTCTTTACCGACCTGCCATTTCATTAGTTTCGATGATCTTATTCATAAGTTTCATTGATAATACGATTTCATCGAATACCGGCGTACTTCCACCCACTAAACCAGTATTACCACTTTGTGGACAAACAGCTAAACGATTTTCATTACAATATCGTAATATTGCTGAGACTTCCTCGGTTATCTTTGGCTTTAGTACAACTCTACTATTGCCTGAAAGTTAATGCAAGATTATTAACTCGCTTTCCGATACACAGATATTTCAACTGACGGAAATGCGTACGGTGGATGCAAATATTAAACGTGTAAGAATAAAAATTCATTCATAATAATAAAAATGTAGAGAAACTAATCTTCACTTTAATTTAATTTATCTGATGAAATATATTTATTTGGATCTATTATTTAATATGCAATTATTTTGATATACATACCTCGAACAGTATTTGCAAAATCGATATTGTAACCATCGCATTCGTCGGGATCGGTGATAACGCGATTACGATCGAGCAATCTTTCAAAAAAATTAACATGTTCGCTCGTGATCATGGAATATGGACCACGTTGTGTCTTATATCTTACTGATGTTAATTCTGGCTTTGTTTTTTTCGCATAGTAACTTCGACTCCCATATCCTTGATTAACGTTCAACGACGTGCACGCCAAGATGCACTTTCGCAGTATTCTTCGCGTTTGCATTTTCTAGAAGAGACTATGAATATTTTTTATTACTATTATTACCGGTTGAACGAATTACTTCGTAACTTTTATCGGTCATTTAAATATTACCAAATAAATAAATAAGTTGTGAGCGCTAACTTTAAAGAAAAATGGACGCTCTGATTTTCGCTACGTTCAAATTGCATTCTCTTTACCGTAAAATTTACATACACGCGAGAGATAAAACCGAACGATAAAAATGCAATATTACGCGTTTACTATGTAAATAAATAAATCAATAAATAAATAAATGTATATAGATACACATATTTATATGTGAAAATATTTCATTTGATAAATTCTCTTTTCGTGATCCACGTATGTTCAAACGTTTTATCAAATGTTTTATGAACGCATAAGTAATAGTTTGCAAATGAAATAATGACACAGATAAATATTTGAATAATATTTTAGCGGTATATATTATTACGAAGTTTTTTATCTCTCTCTCTCTCTCTCTCTCTCTCTCTCTCTCTCTCTATCTCTATCTCTCTCTCTCTCTATCTCTATCTTTTCACAATTCTTACAAAATCTTATGTCAGATGAAAAGCACTTGTTGGCATTAGAGATGGAGAAGAGTAGATGAAAGAGAAAGAAGAGAATGAGTGAAGCAAACAAAAAAAGAAAGTTAATGGCAAACCCCGTACAGATCGGCCTAACGGCGAANGACAACCACCCTTCTCGACCTTCTACCACCACCACCACCCACCCACCTACCCAAGCCTAACTTCATATACAGGAGGGCTTACCCACCTCCTTTCTCTCTCTCTCTCTCTCTCTCTCTCTCTCTCTCTCTCTCTCTCTCTCTCTCTCTCTCTCTCTCTCTCTCTCTCTCTCTCGATCACTATAATATATCATTGATGATTTAAATGATAGAATACGGTTAGAATGGATCATTGTTTGATACTATGTGATCAAAGAATCATTAACATAATGAATACATATGAAGTTTCTCAAGCGAACATTATATCGAGTTACATCATGTAAATTATATATACACATGCATTCGTATTTACATATTTTATTATTTAAATATCAAAGTGTTTAACGTCATTAACTGTTAAGAAAACGTATAATGAAAATGTAAACCCACCTTCTAGCCTCATACTTATCACCTGCAACAATGATTGGTCATACATTAACTCTAATTTTTTCAAGAAAATATAATACTAATCTATAACATATCGAGACTACTCGATGAGTTTATTGAAAATCGATGATAAAATTAATCGCTGATTGAAATAAATGAATTTTTAGCGATTCTGCTCCTATTCACTCTTTTCTCGAGTCAACGAAGAAAAACAAAATGGCTACGGATAACGGCACCCCGGTTGATCTATACAAATATTTCTGAGCAATGAACTCTCTCCTAGCGTTTCAAGACGGAGATACAAAAAGTCGAAAAGAGAAAAGAAAGGAAAACACGAATGCAATAGAAAAGTAGTTAAAAAGGAAAAAGAATAGAGACAAAAAAAAGTAGCAAAAAGAAGATGTCAGGGTTCGACGGTAAAAACGAAAAAAGGAAAAAAAGAAAATAGAAGAAAATATCTTCGGGCCGTATCATAACATTCTTATCCTTATCTAAAGTCACAAAAGGCGTATACGAGTGCAAAAGAACATCAGCAACAGCAGCGACAGCTGCACGGTCTCTCAATTATATGTCCTCCTCCTCGTCCCCCCTCTACGCGGTTCACCACCACCTCTTCTTTTCTTGATGTCTACCTCCTCCTCCTTTTTCTTTTCCTTCTCTCTCTTCTCCTCCTCCTCCTCATCATCGTTCTCGACGAGTTGCTTCCATTTTCTAGTCTTTAATTCGCGGCCTGATCGACGGACATCGGATATTATAATCTACATCTCCACCTCCTCCCCCACCCCTCGACACGCAGAAGCGCATAGGGTCTCAAGCGATACGCCGCGTCAGTGTTACGATCTCCGAGCGGTGGGGAAAATAAGGTCAGTACCAGAGCCGAGGGAGGAAATGTTACTAGACAGAGACAAAGCAAGGGACAAAGAGAGAGAGAGAAAAGAGGGGGTAATGGAGGGAAACCGAGAGAGATGGATGGACGGCGACCGTGCACGAAGGAGAGAGGTCGATCAAGTAGTGGACGAAGTGGGAAGGGAGCCAATCGTCGTAACGCCTCGTACTTTGCCAAATATATATATATATATATATATATCTCTATCTCTTTCTCTTTCTCTTTCTCTCTCTCTCTCTCTCTCTCTCTCTCTCTCTCTCTCTCTCTCTTTATCTTTATCTTTCTCTTTCTGTTTTCATATGCCGTGTCAGGATGTGTGAATGCTTCTATATACTTACACGATACATACATGCAACTGATTCAGATTATTTAATAGCATAGCAGCGTGTTTTGTGTCGGGGACACGTGATGGAGATTATACTTGGGGAAAGAGAAAGAGTAAAAGAGAAAGTATAAGAGACATTGTTTAAGAAAGAAAAAGAAAATGGATAGAAAAGGATGCATATACAAGGCTTTAAAAGATGCCCGACAAGGAAGGAAAATGTGTTTATGAAAGAAAGGGAGACAGGGATAGACGGAACACAGCGGAAAACGAAGCGAGAGGGAGACCACCAATCGTCGCTGGGGCAGAGCGTATTGGTATGCAGGCGAAAGGAACGTGATCCTGTAGGGATTCGTTTTACTTTACTAACACATAGGGTAACTTGATATTCGAGAGATATAGTCTCTCCCCTATGTGTTGGCAATGGAGTTGGCGCACTAACACATAATATCGAGGAGAGGGAACATGCATACAGACAAGGACGAGATTTCTCCATGTGCATACATTCGTGAGCACACACGTATGTTAAAGAGTATATGTATTTACTACCGACGCAGCGACTATACTACCACACTATCCTATTATTTCTACTACACAAAGAAGAGTTATATTCGTGAATATGAGAAGATATAGCGCATTGCTTCCAGGGGGCGACGCATGCGCAAAAGATAGTTGGCTCTCGAGCCAATTCCTCGGTGGCGGGTCGAATCATTAACTTGTTTCCCTGGCAACGTTGCTCGGACCGAACCATTGGTCACAGGATTCTCCCTACTTTTCTTACTGTACGCTCTATCGGTGGAATCGGGAAACTACGAAGCTTCGACTCGGCTTTATTCGGCTGTATACGATATCGTATATTCCTAACCTCTATCGTAAGCAAGACTATAGCGTCCCGTCACCAACACAATCTTACCAACACCAAGCGCGCATCAAGCTCACCAACGAGAACTACCCAAGTAAAACATTCTTCGTGTATAAACGTGGTCGTAAAAGCGGGATTGGCGCGACCGCGACTTCTTCCTACCCTCCGCAACGATGCGTCGAACCTTGCGTCGAAATCCGAGACCGGTATCGGAAAGATGAACAATAAATCGATCCTATTTCTTTACCTTTTTTTATCATCTACAATCTTATTCTTTTTTACACGATGACTGACTTACCGATCACCATTGTTTTCTTTTATCGAATAATCTCCCTGATAATGAGTTAATGAAAAATATTTAAGTTTTGATTTCTTACATTCTTGGAAAACAAAATATATAAATAAGATATATGCTATGCAAGTTAGGAGACAATATGTAGGATGCATCGAAATGTAAATATTTACGTTAATTTTCCATACACCTGTTTGCTTTTTATATTCACTACTCTACGCGTGACATTCTAATTATATAAAACTTAATATTTGAACGAATTTCTTAGGATAACAGAAAAGTGAGAAAGAATTTTATTTAATCCAACGAGAGAAAGTAGGATCGTTGAATAAAACTTGACCATAATAGTTTGGGTTCGAATCAGGAGGCATCGATCGATCGTATCGATGTACCATTAGATTTCCATCTATTTATCTGGGAATACTTTAAATCGAATTTTATTATGTCGTTTATACACTGTCGGTAGATTAATTAAAAAGAAAAAAAACTTGTTAAATGTATAATTAGACAATACCGATTGGATGAAAATTTTCTGTAGGACAGAGGCGGACCAATCAAGTACACGTCGACTCTACGGGGTTTCGAGTAGGGAAGTATAAACTCGACTTAGACAGCTGTGTCAGTGACGTAACTGGTCGTTAAAGACCCAGTCCCAAATCTCTCACGATTTCGATTGATAATTTTTTTTATATCGTTTTATTCATCAAAGTTATGCACACACAATTATATTTTGAAAATAATTATTAAATAATTTGTTAATAATTTATTAAATTAGTTAACGATGATAAATAGAAAACAAATACGATTTTCAAGATACAATATTTGTTGTCATATTTGTAATCATTTAAAATTAACAAAATATGATTTGTTAAAGTTTTAGATTATTATTGAAATACTTTAACTTTTTCAATTAAAGATATGAAAATTTATCTGTATATATACTTTTTAATTAATAAGAATACGACTTGTGTAGATTTTTATTTTTATCTATTACGATTTGTAAGTCTATCTCTGAAATAAATGAAATTATTAGGTGATAATAATAACGAAAAAACAGGAATCAGATAAATTAGAATAAATGCCTTCTGAAACTAAACTGGTATACAGTTTGATAGTAGGGGAATGTAACATAAATCACGTACATTTTTCATACGATTTAATATGAATATTTTAATATCCTCGATTCAATCGAAAAACTATTGTTAATAAATTAAAGAAACATTTTATTAGAGCTTTTTTATTAGAACTTTTATTTTTTGTCTTTCGATCCACAATTATTCCGGAATTTAATTCATCTTTGTATCGATTAGAGAACAAAATAGCAATTTTACGAAAAAAAGAATCTTCGATTTTTCAAACTCATAAAAACCTAAACATCGACGATAAGACAAAAACAAAAATGTATGGATACTCGAAAAGACAATAAGAGTAAAATATGAATACGAGGAAATAAGTTAAACCTATAAAAAATGCTTTAATGAGATTATCCATAAAATATAAGAATAAAAAAAAATAATAACTTTATATTAATAACAAAAAAATATCTTCAATGTAAAACAAAATTAATCTATATCATAAAAATATTATAGAAAAATTGGATGCTAAATATACGTAGAGTAATCTGCATTCATATTTTTGATAATTCGAGTACTTAAACTTCAATGAACTTTTATTATATCTTAATAATAATAAAAATATAAACTGCAAACTAATAAAATTATTTGATTCCTAAGATATTAAATGAAATATAAAAAAAAAAACAAAAAGTGTACGAGATCGAAGATACAGGGGATATTCGTTTATAGGACCGTACCTGGCTGTATCACGAGACTATGCTACAAAATCTTTGGTGGACTATAGTCTCGTGTACGTATACAAAATCCAGTTGGTTGTGTTAGTGCTCTCAAAATCGAGTGGCTTGGGGCGAGTGTTAGTACCGTTACGAAGCATGCGCCCATAACCACGGTGTCCAATAGCCCCGCCTTTTCGACGCGAACTGATGCCTTTGGGATTTGTCCTCAGTCGACCAATCAAGGAAAAGCTTGTCTCGACGAGGGGTTAGGAGACGTAAGGGAAATGATCGTTTTTGAGTTAGTGGGGGTAAGAGAATTGGTTGGAAGGGGACGATCCTTGAGGATGATGGGATACATGCGGGGTAGTGGGGGAGGGTAAAGGGGGCTGTTGAGAGAGGGAATAGAACACTCGTGTGCTTTGCGGGAGCAGGGAAACATCAGCAACGAATGCGACGCCGATACTTACAAAACTCTGCGACGTCGACGCGCTTCGTGACGCTGTTTAAAGCCTCGAGGATTCATATTTTCCTAGAGAATCGAAAAACTTTGCTGGCTTTCTCATAGTTCGATTAATCCTACGAGTCAAAATAGTGTCCGAATTGTTGTTTTATTCGCGAAAGTGGTGAAGAGGAGGTGGAGGAGGAGGAGGTAGTAGTGGAGGTGGTGTTAGTGTTGATGGTGGTGGTGGCAGCAGCGGCAGTGGCGACGACGGCGGCGGTGATAGTGGTGGGTGGTGGGTGGTAGTGGCGAACAACGACAGCACGACATCAACATACAACGCCGAGAACGACAACGGTGGCTGTTCAGTGGCTGTACGTTCAGAAACGTGCATAGGTGTGACTGCGCAGTCGCTATGTGAGTAGTACCTGACGACAAGAAGTGTTTCTCCTATGATCTCCATGGCTGCTTGCCTGACTCGAGACTTTTTCTTGTTGCCTTTAAGAACACCTTTATTTTCTTTCTCTCTGTCTCTCTATCTTTCTCTTTCTCCTTTCATTCTCGAAATCGGATCAAACAAATTCGAGTTATACATGTTGGGAACGATCGTCGCGCTAGTCAAAAAGAACTCTGAACTTTTCTCGCCGCGTCCCGCCCGTTCTTCGAACGTAATACATTTTTTGTTTTTCTATATAATCCAATATGTCCGTCGATAGGAGGGGCGCGCTGTCTTTATCTTTCCTTCTTAAACGAACGTTTCTGTCTCTCTCTCTCTCCATCATCATTGTACGAGATCGTTGTAACGTGTGTGTAAGTATAAAGTAGGAGTCCCGCGCACATTAACACGATTGGAAGTATCGTGAAGAATAGTAGGTATATGTGTGTATGTGTAATATAGAGCTTGACGACTTTCTCGCTGAGAACCGCGTGCTGCTGGCTATGTTATTATCATTATTATCGTCGTCGCGCCGTTATTGGCATTATGGCGAGATCCATGTTGCGTGCGTTTGGCCGCCCCCTGGAGGCTTCGGTATCTCGCTTCTCCCCTACCCTAACTTTACTTTTCTCTTCTCTTCTCCTCCTCGTCCCTCTGTACTCTCAGGGCTCGCACACTCGCCACCATTTCCGTCTAATCCCACGCTCTCTCTGCTCGCCGGCTCCCTCCCCGTTTCTCCACGCCTTTCAATCGTGTTTCCCGCTCAATCTTTTCCTCTTGCGTCTCTCTTCTCTTCCCCTCTGTATTGCGACCCATCCTACCTTCTATTCCTTTCGTTTGTTCGCTCGTTCCTTCCCTCTTACTCTCTTTATGCATTCACTCTTTTTCCCCTACCCTTTTCTCTCTCCCTTCTTTCTTTATCTCCTTCCCCCAACCTCACTTCGTACCAACCTACTCCTTTTTTTCCACCGAGACTAATTATGGTGGTCTCTCCGACGGACGGAGGACATTTTGTTCCCGAGTATTTTCAAAGCCATCCTAGCGTAAGATGGATCGCGTGGATTTTCATTGGATCGATATAGCTCTTCATATATTATAGGTAGGTACCTTCTTTACCGTTCGAAACTAATGAATTCTCTTTTCCACTATATTCTTCACGGTCTTCTTTTCTATTGGTCCTACTAACTTGCGATAGTATCGTGTTTCACTACGAATAGCGTCGTGCAAATCTCTCGAACGATTATATGGAATTTCCTTGAGTTTAGAAAATAGCTTCTTGTTGTTTAGGATTCTTCTTATCGAAATTATGCTTGTATTCAATATAATTATATTCTAACATATTTATTACAAATAATTTGTAGTGTTTTTTATGAATCACGTATTTAACTTAATACGCACGGAATTATTATGTTATTAGAAATGAAGTATAAATTTAAATTCCACCAATGATCGTCTTTCATTCAATGTGAGTGGTTTACAATGTATCAATCATATATACGACATACATATATATATATATATATATATATATATATATATATTACTAATTAGAGAGCTTAGATTGGTTACATATTTCTTTGGTTTCGTACAATGGTGATAATGTGATTGGTTGATTATATATTTGTTTCTTTTCATTGATTCTCGTTCAATTATGAACTCAAGGTTAACTTTATGAATGATCTTACGTTTTTCATTTGGAAAATGTTGAAATTTCTATCACGTTGCTATTCCTTTGTTTATTTTTTAAAAAATGTTTTGAATAATTTAGATTTTTACATAAAATGACAATGCAGTATGTTTGCATTTAAAATAAAAGCAACGAAATAATATTGATTTAAATTATATTTAAAAATGATCCTTTAAAAAATTAACAACGATATTTATGCATATTTTTAAACGTTTGATTTTCACGACCACGTTTTTTTTTTATTTATAATGAAATCATTTCAAAGAATTTCTTAACCTAAACATTTAATTACATTTCAAACTTTTCCAAAATTTCAACAATGGAATATGTTTTATTATTCATTTTTAAGCATGGGAACGAAATCTATACTAAAATTAATCAACATAAGTATTTTCTTGAGAATATCAAATGATATCAATCTTAAATATCTAACTTCATATTTTTCTAATGAAATAATTGTTTAATGTAATATACTGATAATCGATGATAAACTTAAGAAATTACTCACCTATTTCTGAAGAAGTTGATAAATTTTTAACTTTCTAATTCTTAACTACTGCAACAATATGTGTTCACACTTAATAAGCTCCATGTGACACTGATCATGCTTGGTTAGACTTGAAACCAATATTAACACTATCTCATTTGTGTTGAGGTTATGAATATGTGAATATTACAGAACACAAATTGTGCAACAGATGTTTGTCAAGTTCAGTGATAATACACGATAACATCAAATAATGAATAAAAATTTAATCGATAAAATAAAAGAAACGGATTGTGTCCAAAGGTCACGTGAACTTTTTAATAAAAAAATAAATAGAAATAAAAATGTTAACCAATACATTCACAAGGAAATTAAAATGAAATGATCATTTTAAATAGAAAATATGAGCTCGAAAATGATTAAAAGATATATATTGATTAAAATAAAATAGTAAATAAAGCAATTAAGTTGTTATAATATAAAAATGTAAAACAATTATCGCAGTAACAGCATTGAAGATCTTCGGGTCAATTACTACATTTCAAGTAATATCAAATGATGACTGCAACTCATGAGCTTCAACAACAACAACAAAACGTCCAGCAGCAGCAGCAACAACAACAGCATGTACAACAACAGCAACAACAAGTGCAACCGCAACAAATTCAACCGCAACAAGTGCAAGCACAACAACAGATTCAACAGCAGGTTCAGCCTCAGCAACAAATGCAAGTACAACAGCAGGTGCAGCAACAAGTACAGCAACAAGTACAGCAACAAGTACAACAGCAGCAACAACAACAACAACAACAGCAACAACAGCAGCAGCAACAGCAACCACAACAACAACAAAGTAATGGGCCACATAATGTGGTACCTACGCAAGTACAAGTTCAACCACAGGTAGCAGCTAACATGCCCCAACAACAGGTATAAACGATATAAATACGTAATGAGATTTTTGTTGTTCTATTATGTTTAAAATAAACAAACATATTAATTATATATTTGTATCAGTTACAGGGAGCAGTTGCTGTGTCAATGCATCATCAGCAACAAGGTGTTGGTGGTGTATCTATGGCATTATCTGGTCAACAAGGTGCAACAACTATAACCACGATGGCTGCACATCCTCAGGCAGTTCAAGTTATTCAACAACCAATACAAAGTCAAGCATATCATTTGCAACAACTTTATAATACTCAAGCTCCATTATTGATGCCTGGAAATTTGGCTCTTCATCCTGCAGGAATAAATCCATCTTCGATTCAGGTATAAAGAAATTCCAAGTTATTTTAATAATCAATTTCTACCATTTTACATTGGACATATTTAAAAGGAGAATATCCATAGAATACTTTACAGGTTACAACAGCTGGTAAGCCTTTTCAGTCTGCAGCACAACTGACACCTCATATGTTAACTTCAGCATCAACACCTGACCAAGGTACAGGTCATCCTGGTGCAGGAGGGACTAAAGTTCAAGGATTTCCAACGAGTTACTTGCCTGTACCAACTTCTGCTACTCCTGATGCAGGACAAGCATTGGTTTTTGGACAGCTTGGCGTTTTAGGCTCGCCACAGCCTCCACCCTCGCTACAACAACAACAGCAGCAGCAATCTGCAAATAAACAAGACCAAGTACAAAAGGTAATATATTATTTTTATACATACTCTCATAACTTATTACTCTATAAAAAATCATATTAATAATATATGAATTTTGGTTTAGTATACCACATGTACAGCGGGTACTCCATCCGGCGCAAGAGGACCAGGAATGCAATTTGCACTTTGGCAGTTTGCACCTCAAGTTTGGACTGGATTACAACCACCAGCTGTTCTTACTGCTGCTCCAAACCAAATATTTATTCGAAGTCCTACACAACCTGACATGTTCATTCAAAGTCCACAACCCATCCAAGCCCATAATGGTTAGTAATCGTAATTTATATTTTATATATTTATATATTTTTTGGATAGCATTTGGTTAATCGTAAAAATATATTTGTTATAGCATTAGCCACCCAACAGCAGATTCAAGGAGTACAGCAAATTGCGGCCGCTAGCGGGAAAGCCAAGGTAATGGACATACAACAATATCAAGCGATGAAAAGCAAGCAGAGCACAGGAGGACAGAGGCCACTTAGCATTTTACCATCGTCGCTGCAAACTGTCAATATACGAGCTGCAAGTTCTGTTTCTACACAAACTGTTCATGAAGTACAAGTCACGGTACACGCACAGGTTACTATGATTAACATTTACATCAGTTAGGAAAAGAAATTTTTTTTAAGTGGTGTAAATGTGTCATAATGTATTGTAAGCTGTGCTTCAGCATAATATTATTGCCAAACTCAATAATGCCGGTATAATATATTTATCACTTTCTTCCCTCTAGAGTGGGAAAGTGAGCGGGAGCGGGGGTAAGGGTCGTGGTAAACCAATTCAATCGCCTCAACAACAACAACAACAGCAGCAACAACAACAACAACAACAGCAACAGCAGCAACAACAACAAACGCAACAGGCAATGCAACAACAACATCAACAAGTGTTCATTCAGCAAAAGCAACATCCTCAACAACAACAACAACAACAGCAACAGCAACAATTACAACAACAGTATCAGCAACAACAAGTGCAATCTACCCAACAACAAATTCAACCTAAGCCAATGATGGGTAAGAAATATACTATGAAAATATATAGAGGTAAGGGATAAATTGATGCTTTTCATAATTCATTAAATGAATAATTTTCACTGTTATGTAGCAGGTATGGCTTTACAGCAACAGCAGCCACCTGGAGTAGTTTTAAGTAGTGAACCAAGACCTATAATGCCTGTAGTATCGGTAGGAAGTGTTGGGGTTGCTGCTGCATCACAAATGAACCAAGTACAGCAACCTCAAATGTCTGCTGTACAACAGCTTCCAATACCGGTACAAAACTATTATCATGTAATGTATACCCTACTGCTACGAATATAACTATATATTATTATCATTATTATTAAATAAAGTAATTGCATTTACAAATAACTCATGCAACATCTTTTACAAAGTTTGTTTTAATTGTCTTTTTTTTTTTAGGCTATCAATCCGACAATATTAGGCAATCAAATAGTAGGCGCAGCATCTCAAGTTCAACCTGTACCAATAGTAAATAGACCAACCGAACAACAGCCTCATGATCCTAATAATGCTGCGATGATGATAACGTCGTCTGATCGTAATCATCAACCTGACTGTCCGATAATACTACCATCAACAATTCTTCCTCCTACTAACGATGATAATAAAAATATTAAAAAAGATGAAGTTTTACCAATAACTGTGGAAGAATTGCCAGTACCTCCACCAGATGTATCAGGTATGTGTGTGATTTAATAAAACAAAATTATATATATGAATTATACGCAAATACACGGAACATATTTGCATCAATGTTTCTTTTTTCTTTTTATACAGATACCGATAATTCCAAGCTGCAAATAAAAGAAGAGGAAAATAATACCTCGAAAACGGACGATAAAACATGTAACAATCCATTAGCTGGACTTGCCAATACAGTCAATTCTATTACCAATGGCGCAGCTAATGAAGAATCGACAAATGTTTCTGTAACTGTTCCTCTAACAGCAAGTAGTAAACATGCACCTCCTAAGGCTATGGTTAAACCTCAAGTTCTTACGCATGTGATTGAAGGATTTGTTATACAAGAAGGTATATATAAATATGTTTAATCTTTTTGTTGTTGCATGCTTTGATTCAAGTATTATGATAAAAAAAAAAGAGTTCGATATTTGAAGGGCTTATAATACTCACCAAAAGAATATAAAATGTCTAACATGAGCCCTAAAATCAATCCTTTCTATGTAAATTAATTTTTATTATTTATGAATACATATTCAATATCGTAAGCGAGTCTCTAGGTAATATATTAAATGTACATTGAGAAATTTGCTTAGAATATTTAGTATTAATTAACAATATTTTTGTTTACAGCATCCGAACCATTTGCAGTTAATCGAACTTCTTTGAATAATACAGTGGGCCAAGAGGCAACGAATATTTTAAATCGTAACAACTCGTCCGAAAAAGATAATCCTGATGAACCACCGAGTATGATAAACTTAATTACAATTGATTTTACTCTCTAGTAAAATTTGTCATATAATATAATTCGTATTAATATTTTAAATCTAGGAAAGAAACATGCTCCGAATTACAACGTAGACGATGATGGTAACAATACTCATGTTGGCAAATGTGAAAGTTGCGGTAACACGATAGACGAGCAAAATATTAAATTTAAAAAGGATAAACGTTTCTGTTCTGCCATTTGTGCGAAAAAGTTAGTGCAATTTATCATTATTTTTTGTTTTTTTGCATGATTAATATGAGCATATTTCAATTTTGTAATCGGTTATAATTATTGTTATATAAATTTGCAGTAAAAAACGTGAATCGCGTGAACGCGATGTCATGGAAAAACAATGGTCGGAAATGGAAATTGACATTAAAACTAACGATGTAGATAATAATAAGAAAAATGGAGAAGACAAATCGTTGTTAACGACTACTACTACTTCCTCCGTAGATGATTCCACTCCAAAAGTGAATCCTGTTAAATGGACAGTACGTCTATTGATCTAATATATATTTTTATTAACAATTTGAGTCCCAAGGGTAAATGTCAAGCGAAGCGACCACATAATCAATCGCGTATTGCATTTCAATAAAATGCCACTTTCCAAATAAAGATCTGAACGCTTGGTACTCAAGTGGTTAATTATTCAACTTTATACAACTTTTTATGTCAGCCTAATTTTAATATGAATTTAATAAATTAATTGAGATATGCAATGAAAATCATCTTTTATGTTTGTAGGTAGGAGAAGTATGCGAATTCATTCGCGGCTTACCAGGTTGTGCCGATTACGCGGAAGACTTTGCCATACAAGAAATCGATGGACAAGCTCTTATGTTGTTAAAGGAAGATCATTTGATGTCTGCGATGAGTATTAAATTAGGACCAGCATTAAAAATAGTAGCCAGAATTGATTCGATGCGTATAGAATCAATGTCCAATTCCAATCCTACATCTAACAGCTCGTAAATTATTTATCCTTCTGCATTTGTTTTTTATTTGAAGACTCAGTCTAAAATAATCATTTATGAGCTGCGGAGGGTTTTGTGCAAAAAGTATTCGATTCAATAAGAAATGATAAATATTTAATTATTTGCAATATCTCCACAGAAAATTCATACTTGTGTAAATATTTAATTTAGATTTTAACGAAAGAATTTAATTCAAATAATATTATTTCTATTAATCTGATGGGAAAGAACAAGTATTTACTAAATTGGAAAGAAATGCATACAAAAACATAGGAAATAGAAAAAAAAAACAGACGATAATTTTATAGCCTTAAGAATATTAAAGAGAATTCTGCAATCAGTTGGATTATACATTAGATCATTTTTCATTTCTTGTAATATTATTTATAGGATTATTGTAAATATTTGTTAAATGGTATATCATAGGCACGCAATTATATTCTTAAAAAGGAAGCTACAATATTTGCCTAATATATATATATACATATATATATATATATAAGAATGAAACATAGAATTATTTAAGAGTAACATTTCTATGAGATACGAGAGAAAATCATTGTAAGTCATAAATGTTTTTTTGTAAAATGTTGTTCGATCATATATATAAATTCCTTACTTTTTACAAAATTTCTATACAATGTGCATTTCGACTTATAATGATTAAAACTCTCTTTCGAAATCATGTGTAAATAACATATATATAAACGCAAATGGATTGACAAAATTGTGTTTATCTGTATGACGAGTGCCGTCATGTATATTGTATGTATGAATGTTTTATAAAAAGTACAATTTTATAAAAAAAAAAAAATTGCGTACAATTAACAAATAGTCAAGAATCTGAGTACAAAATGTGTCTATTAGGCAGAATACAAGCATTGTACATAAGATATTTAGAGATACGTGCTGTACTCTGTGTTCAACAAATATTATTTTGGGTTTGCATTTCAATGAAAACGAAAAAAGACCATCATGCTCAAAGATCATTTTCAAATTGTAATTATGTTACAATTATCTGCTATTATAGCAGATCCGTAACATTTGAGAAAACATACATTTCCGGTACTCCTGAACATATATTTTGTAAATGTATCACTTACTACAGGTAGCTTCAAATGTATATATTAGATATAAAATGTTTATTTAATATACAAATTTTATAACAACATCCTAATTATTACGATCATTTATATGTACTTCCTACATCATAGTCTTCTTTTTCAATCTAATTTTTTAAATATATCATTTATTTGTAGTTTTATAATTTTTTATATAATGGTAAGAAAAAAGAATTTTTATTGATACCATATGTGAAGCTAAATATTATTTTCGTATCGAAGAAACTTTTTTATTTTTCTGCATAGAATATGCTGACACAATTTGCCCAGAAAAACCTTTGACATCCTCTATATATATAAATAAATTTAAGGATTCATATATTTCAACTCGTAAGAGTCACAATTTCAGTCATTTTATTATAAGGAGATTACATTATAGAGTATACTTTTAAAAATAATTATCGCAATATATATGGTACAAGTAATACGAGATCTATATTTTTTTTTGCCAAAACCATGGTAAGATGCTGACCTACAAATTTGTGAGTGATTTTCGCTTTTACAAATATCTCAACGATAACAAATATATAATTATTATCCTACTTTTATTATATCCCCCTGGAAAAAATGATTTTAAGATGGACGGTGCCTAAACTATAAAACAAACTTTCCATGATTGTCTACGTTTGAATAATATTTTTATAATATTATGTAGATGGAACGTTTTCTAAATCCATTCCTTCACTTAAAAGCTCTTTTTCTTGCTCTTGAATCTTTAATTTCCTTTCTGGTAGGGTATACATGAAATACGTAGCGGCTGAATATAATAACATTGCTCCAGTCGCTATTGTTATTGTCATGCATACATTAACAAAACCCCGATGAAATTTATCATAATAATATTCCTTCTTTCTTGTACGGGTTAGCATATTTTATATTGATTTAGTGTCTGGAATAAGAAATGTTATCTATAAAGTATGAACACACTTTACAAAATGTGAATTATAAAATTTGATGCATTGGTGTATATATAATAACATTTTTATCAATTAACATAACCTCATATAATCTCTATTGAACAAAAATATTTCTCTTTCTTAACGTAAATTTTATTATATAATTTGTCAAATGTATATAGATGCATTTATTATTTACACGTTAATGAAACATTTACTAATATCAAACAAAAATTTGACTTCTTTTTTAACCACACAATTGAGACTGTAAATAAGTTAACACTTATTATTGTTTGTTTGTATTTAATTGAACTAAAATTATATTTTTAAATATTATAACTGTTCATACTTATATTTATATCTCAATTTATTTATGTACACGTATTTAAACTTGATTCCATTAAATTATATTTGATGTCCAACACGGTACTGCCATAAAACTGCACTATGCAGCGTGCATATACCAGAACAATTCGAGGTAATGCCGCTAGATGTCGCATCATCATTAATATTTCTCACAATTATTTTAACATTAAATTTCAGTGCATTCTAATGGGAAATTGCTTTTATGCAATTGCAGTTACATGCGAATATTTAAATGTTGTATAACATTATGATATACAAATTGTTATCAACAGTAGATAATTTACCGACAAGTGAAAGATTTAAGTTTAAAGAAATTATGTAGAGATAGCGTTTGTTGTCTCTTTAAATTATGAGATTAATTCACAGGTTAAATTAACAACAAAAGTTCATTTTTAACAATCCAAATTGTTACAAATTGTTATATTAGGTAATATTATATTTGTTTGTTTGTTGATAATATATATTTATAGAAAATAATTAATTTTTAACGTTATACATACTTCATTATATAGTATAATAAAATAAATTTCCAATTGTTTTTTAATATATCACGTTATCTCTGCACATATCTATATATCGGTATTACATTTACTTATATGTAGTGTTGACTGCGAATCATTTTTCTTTTAAGATGATATGTCACAATCAATTTAATTGTCATATACGTATTATGCATAATTAATGCAAATATATAATAATGATAAAAAACAAATATTATTCTTCCCTACAAAACAAACAAATAATAATATATTTTTCATTCATTCAATTGAAAGGGATAGACAATGAGCGTGTTAAAGGATCAGTTCTTAATAAATGTTCAATTCTCTAAGAACTCATTAAAAATTTGAGAATCTACATCTAATACTATTTCATCCAAAGATGGACCTTGTTTAGTTGTTGGTATTTCTGCAATTAAAATGCATACATTTATATGTATAGAAATTTTCATTAAATGAAATATTTAAATATAAAAGAAATATACATACTAGGTATATGTCCTGTCGCTTTATAAGCTTCCAATTCTCCTTTAAAAACTTCATCAAAAGTCTCTTGACGCTCTTTTAACATTAATTGTTGCTTTTGTTCATGCTTCGATACTCTATTAATATGTTCATTTGCCAATTTTGCTAAAAACAAAAATATATATTTATATATCTTAAATAATATAGTTTAATTTTGTTAATGCGTTAAATAGAATCAATCAATGTACCCTGTACAGAATTAATTTCAGATAATCTTTTTTCTTTATACAAAGCCAACTGAAATCTGTGATCCAATTGTCTACTCTGTAAATCTAGCATTTCATTTAGATTTTCCAATCTGTACAATGCTCCTTCGACTTCTTCGAACATTTCTTCTAATGTTCCTACAATAATATTTCATTTGTTGAATTTTTATATTACTCTTTGCAGAATTATTACAATATCAACTATATATGAAAAAAATACCTATTTGATCCATAAGATTTTGAATCCCATTATTTATTTTAGGAATGATAGCTAATGTGTTGTTTAAACACGTTATGTTATTCCATTCGTAATCCAATTTGTCGTAAATGGAAGTTACAAGAGTATCAACTTCTTGAGCCTTAGATGCATTCTCTTCCGCTAATTCGTGTAATTCGTTCCATTGTAACTGAAAATGATGCAAGATATCCGCGCCTGCATCATAATTAACATTTCTAGATTTAACAATTTTTTTCTGTTTAGGATTTTCGGTAACTGTTAAGCCCCGTATACTGTAACGTAAACAATATTTTATACAACTATTTCTGCAATTAAAAATATTAATATTTAAATGGTCATTATTATTACCTAGCAGATAAACCTTCTTGTACTGTCTGAAATTTGTTACGCAAAGTCCCAAACATATTTCTGTCAAATGCATTTACTTCTCATATAAGACAGAATAAATGAGCTAATATTTATTGTTTCAATTATTTTATAATATTTTAAAACATAACATATATGTAATTAAGCTTTGACCGATATAAAGCAACGTTTAAATTTTCTTATCGAAACATTTTACAAACTACTGCTTGATAAGAGCTGAAACACAAATAAGTTTATAATATTAAACTTAATGATTATTGCTCTCTCTAAGTTATAGTGTAGAATAATTTTATTATAATTATTATCATAACTGTTAAAAAACCAATTTAAAAAATTATCTAGGTAATGGTATAGCTACCATTTTTTCTTCTTTCAAAGAAGTATAAAATAATTTCTAATATAAGCAAATACAATTCATTTGTAAGTTAAAACAACTACATTATTGAATTTCCATTGGACTTTGACCAAACTGAGTCATTAGTGAAACCTAGTAAAAATATAAAAAGAAGTAAAAGAGGAAGAGATAGAGGAGAGGAAACATATTTACATATAGTTAACAATTTTTTTTCTTGATAAATTCATAACGTTATATTGTAATCTAATTCCACATAAATTATTTATTTGCTATTAAAATTTAGAAACAATAAAAATACTTCTACCAACTATAATGGCCACTATCTAATTTATATTGAATGTTACATTGAAATCACAATCAAATAAATCGTAAATTTGTAAATATGTAAGTGTTACTATATTGCAATTAATATAAAATGTTAAAAATGAGAATATTTTAGTATCGTAAAAAGAAAAATTATACATAGCAAAAAAATTATTTAATACATTTTAAAGCAATATTTCAAATTTGAAAGATATATAATTATCTTTTATGCGATCTTGTTACAATGTTATACAACATTCTGCACTTTGTTCGATCTATGCATTTTATAATGAAATTTAATTACTTGTTTACGCACTACATTTGATTTTAATCATTCGTTAAAGGTTATCATTAAAGCGGAAAAAAAGGAAAAGAATATAAGAATAAGAAAACTAGAATAAATGTTAATAAGACTTTGTTTTATACACTGTAAACGTTATAATTTAATAATCATAAAAATAAATATATTTATTTATGTATATAATTTGTTTCTTTTAACGAGTTTCTATAAATTAAATTTAAAAACTCTTCCATGTACATAAATATATAAATATATATATTTTCTCTAACATAGTATTTATTTTCTGAAAAAATGGTGTATACTATGTTCTATGAATGTAGCAGTAAAAAAAAATTAAATTGAACATTGTATTAAAAATTATATTGAAAATTGCATCAAGATAAATATATACATAAATACATTTATCTATATTTTTTATTCATTAATATTAATAAACTATCTAATCAATAGTTTAAATATAAATGATTATCTAGAAGTTGACTATACGAGAAAGACAGAGGTGTAAAATAAATATGACGTCACGACAACTATAAAGCTGTTCACCAATTAAAGCGACTATTTCTGTGTCTCTTGCAACAGGAATTCTCAACACAAATCATGTTGCTCTCTCCTCTCTCTCTCTCGCTCGCTCTGTGCATATATATGTGTGTAAGCAATTTGGCAACGTCGCTAAGGCTTAATCCGGCCAGAAGGAATGGTGCCTAGCAACCAACCAGTGAGGTCAACAAACGAGGTCAAATCACAGATTATTGCCTGCGCAGTAACGACAAAAATAATGATGATACTGATGTAAATTCATGCATATTGCATTTTCAAATGTCGCTATTTTTATCTTTCAATAGAATTTTCTTTTACTTTTCTATATATTTATTTTCGTTCGTTAACGAATATAATTTACCTCATTCAAAAAAGTAGTAAAAAAAAAAAGAAGAAAAATTTGAAAACGAAATCGAAGGATAAAATATTAATAGTGTTGTATAAATTTTAACCTAGTTTCGTTAGTTTAACCCCTTTTCGAAAAGAGGAAGAAATAATATAATGCATACATACACATTGTATATAGGACATACGTGCGCATGTCCATGTACGTGCATAAATCTATTTTACGTAAGATAAAAGCATCATCAACACACTTACAACAAGAATTTCAGAAGATTGTAGCTAAGAAAGGAGACGATGATAACGACGATACTTGGTGGTGGAGAGGTAGGGAATCGCTGAGACGGTACTATTCACCCACACACACATATGTATTTGGTATAGCTGGTAGATAGATTTTTATGAATACGAAGATAGATACTCAAAAGAGAGGGAGAGAGAATGAGAAAGTAGCAGAGTCAGAAGGAAAATAGTTGGAAGGGAGAAGGGCGTGGCATTCTACAATCGCTGGAAATAAATGGAACGTATTGCACGCTAGCGACGTAAGCAACTTTGCGATACTCTACTATACTATACTATACTAACGCTGCAGCAGCTACTTACGTCAGTGTTATTTTTACATTTTCAGAAAGTGTTGGTAATTTACCGACGATGACAAACTTTAAATACTTTTTAAGTTATAAAAACTATTTAAAAAACATATCTAGGAAAACTATAACGCTAACCATACGTTTAAAAATTGTCCGATATTAATCACTATATCGACATTAATATTTAACTCCGACATGACCTGTGAGCGAGAGAAAGAGAGAAGAAGAGAAGGTAGAGGAGGAGGAAGAGCTCTTTCTATAAATAGCAATTTTATAGCCACAGTAAAATTTTTCAGATACAAATAATACCCAAGGTAGAAAGTAAATGGCGTAGTAAAGTTGTTGGATAGTCGAAAATCCTTCAGACTCCTTTCCTCCCTCCATGCATTCAGCAAGCGTAAGTATATAAGTATTACTTCAGCAAAAACTCAACAGGAAGGGAATTTAAGCTGGAAAAGTTCTGCGCAACTTGTGACAAACGAGAAGTTAGTGGGAGGAGCAGCCGAGCATGGTAGGTCAACGGACTTATCGAAGCGTCTCTTCCCTCCCTTCGTCCCTCTACCACCTCTTTCATCCCTTACTCTAGCTAGTATATCATACTACTATATCGTGGTAATCCTATTTTCCCTTTCCATTTTGTTTCCCCCCCTCTCTCTCCCTTTTTAATCATGGAGATCACCTCTTTGCGCGTATTAATATAGAACCCGCTCTGCTACTGATACTGATAACAAGCAAAGGACGAAAAACCACGGGTAGGGATATGATCAATAGTCAATGCAATGAAAATACTGACCAGATATATATATACCTACATATACATTTAATTATCTAATTGCATGTCCCAGCTTTATTTATTAGAGAAGCGGAGAAATATGAAATGCAACGACGAACCGCATTTCGAAAGTATTGATCCGTTTGTAGAGAACGTCATTATTATTTATTATTCCTTTTACGAGTCACCCATTAATTTTACGTAAGCTTGTGCATAGTAACCGTTATAAATAATAGATGTGAAACATCGCATCGTTAACTTTAAAAATGTTAATCTAGACGATTTCGTTGTTATATTGTATCTTACGATATATTATTGCATTTAATAATAATTATTATTATTATTATATATTAAAAAAAGAAGGGGGTACACTATATATTATGATAATAATTAATTATTATAACAAATTTTTCAAGCTAATTTAAAAGATTATAATTATTGCTAATTCGAGCACAGAAAGCTTTCCAAATGTTTGTTTGTGTACGGGTGCAGTGTATGCACACGTGTGTATATGCGAGTTTGCTGCACAAATGTCCCTGAACAGGCAGCACACTACCATATGTTACGATCAATAGAGACGGTACATTCGGCCGTTTTCGACATGTTCCGTTGAGTTCCCCTACTATATTTGTCCTCGACGACCTCCAACCATTAATGACCACGCCTTGCCTGCGTGCTTCCACGATGAAATTGATTCTAGAAAATGCAACACGTTCCTAACATTCCTTAAAGATTTTCTTATTGTTAGTTATATTCATTATAAAAGCACTCGCCCCCCCCCTCAAATGCTACGTGCATATAATTTTTTGTTTGTTTGCTATTTTAATATATTTGTTCTAGGGATCGATAGAATTAGTATTTAAATGTATTCATATCTCTCTGTCATACAAAGTTGTTTTTATATAATATGTATTGTAGATAATCGCGCATTAATCGATCAATATTGAATCTATTATAAATAAATAATTTTTCCGTCAATTTGTTGTTCCTCGTTCATAGCAACATGTAAAGCAAGAAATTGACTATCATAGATCATAGCTGGATAAATCGTTGGAACTCGCAATTGTTTCCATTTACAACGAATGACTGACAGACGGCAAGTAGCAGCAATTGGTAGTAGTAGTAACTGCAGCAGTACAAACTGACGTTGAGGAGGATATAGCTGGATGAGGCGGGAAGAGGGAGTTGATACAAATACAAGAGCGTTTAAACTGTGAGGAAAGAAAAGTGGATGATGGAACAAACGAAGGGATGGGAGGAAAAAAGAAAAAGAGAGAAGGAGAAAATAGAAATAGCAATTATCCAGCAATGTTGTAGATACGCCTGCGCCAACGTTGCATCATTGGTTCCCCATCCAGCTCTTGAATATATATTAGGTTGACTTAATTTCAATTCGAGCTGTTTTCCATCTCTCTCGCTTTCAGTTTCTCTGTCTTCCTTCCTCCCATCAAGGCGAGTCTTTACAGTCGTATTCATCCGCCTGCTCTCCCTTTATACTTGTTGGAATTTCATGCAAAGGGTTTACATGAGAATGTACGCATGCGCCGCGTAACTATACAAGTAGTACGCTGTCGAGAATGAACCCTCAAAAACTGATAAAGGAACGCAGTACGCGGTAAGTGGTGGGGGAAGTTAAGCGTAAAGGGCGGGGTGAGAGGTAGGTGGAACGTGCGTTATTCCTATAAAGATTGTAGATGAGGGACGAGGAGGGAAACCGAAGCGTCAGAGAGTGGGAGAAGCCCGGCGTGGTTGCTTCAAACGGCGCACGCTGCTCCATGCTCGCTCGGCCATTCGCGCGCGCGCGCGCGCGCGTCCTTACAAAATACAACGGCAACTGAACACTCTGAACCCGACGTTGAGAACGCGCTTCAACAGTTCGCCACGAATTCACACTGAGTTGATTATCCTGTCGCGCGGTTTCATCGTGTGGCGCCGCCATATTGGCAGCTCAATATAACACGTACTAATAATAAAGTTTAGATAGGATACGAAACAGGGCTAACGGCGGCAGTCAATGTGTCGATTCTACCATCGTTGTACGGTCGCTACGTCAATGTATTATTTAAGGAAAATGCTGTGATCATGTTTAACACTGTCAGCCATGTTTGATCAAATGCGAGAACTCGAGAGGGCCTTACTATTCAAATGATAACAATTCTTCATCGCATCGTCATTTTTCTTTATTTTAATTTATTTGCGGATCCTCCTTTTTTATTGCTTTTTTCAAATTGTTAATCGTCGTGCAAAATATACAAAGATAGACCATCGTATGGTGAAGAGAAAGCGAGAGAGAGAGAAAAAAGGAACAAATAGATTTGGCGCCCAGTCAGTCATTTTGACGCATGTTGGTAATTTGACCAGCGCGCGTATTTAATTGGTCCAATTTATCATGAATATAATTTACGCGAATTCATTATATCAATAAAGGATCTTCGCTCGGTCAATGATCTTTATAAATATTATTAATGAACTTTTGTCAATTATTGTGATGAGAATGATCTGTGATTATTGGAAAGCAACAATTGCAATTATCGCGAAACTTTGAATGTCAGAACATTTGGTAACCGGTTTTTCAAATGTTTTGTTATTCTATACATACAATAGTGTCCTGCATGGAAGTTTCAACAACATGAACTTATGTTTATAACTTTATGACAATTTTCATTGTTGGCAACAATGCCTGTAAGTACTATTAATATATATAGATACATACACACACACATGTATATGCAGAGAGTTTAATAAAAAATTAAAAGAAGCCAAACAGTGTTGTCATATTCTGTAGGTAATTTATTATTGTATATAATATAATAAAAGAACATTTGTGAGAGACAGTTACTATTGTAAGCGTGACTAATAAAATAATATTTAATACGAAATTTTTATTATCATTTGCAGATCGGAAATGAATGATCCATTAGATAACGATATTAAAGAATTTGGATTGTCCACGAAGGGTACAAATTATAAGGATAGCAACGTGGATTTATTACAAGCATTTGGTATGTGATTGTTAACTAACAATAATAAATGTATTGTCTTCATAGAAACAAATTATACTAATGCACACCATTTTGCAAACATTCTAAAAAAACATATCATGTACCATGTACATATATATATCTTAATCTAAAGCTATCTTTTTCTTTGCGTCTAAACAGTTTATAATATCTATCATAGTTTTACAAGTTACATCTTTCTATTAACTCTTTGAGTGCTGAATACCCCCTTAGCCGATGTGCTTTGTAGGGACAGAATGTTTTATTATTAGTGCGAGTTCCATTGATTGATTATATTAGATGCAAGTAACGAAGAATTATAATGTTATTCTCTCAAATTAAATAGCATACAATAATATTATGCGTTCATAACATTCAAAGGGTTAAAGACCTATTTAACTTTTATTTTTTCTATACACTTCTTCTCTCTGTCTTAATTAAGTTTTTCTAATCTTTTGGCTATACCGCTGACGCAACACTTTTGCTTTTTCATTAATAATTCAATTATTCTTGACAAATTATATACATGTAAGAGTGAATGATTCAATTCTAAAATCTACATTGTCGAGTCTTATTATGAAATAATTTACATATTATAAGAGTAACATGCAATTAAAATAATTGCATATCTAATTAGTAATAGCTTTATCTATCATGAATATATTTCACTATTTATTTCCTACTATTTAATTAGTTAAATAAAATTTACATAAACACACACATGCATACACATATGCATGTATATATACACATCAAAATTAAAACATGTCATTATATATTCAGTTAATAACATTAGAAACATATGACAAATATAAATATTCTTACCTTATTTTATTTAAAGTAAGGTTAAGTTGTCGGTCCTCTCTTTCTCTCTTTCTCTCTTTCTCTCTCCCTTTCTCTTTCTTTCTCTCTCTTTTTCTCTTTCTTTCGATGATATTTTTTATCCTAATTTTACGTACTACACATACAAAAGCACTAGGTAAACAAAAATTTCACATGCACACGGCAATAATAAAGTTTCACTCAATAGAATCGACAAGTCCGATGTTTAAGGTGCGTTAATAGGAAGGTAAATTGTGGCGGGAAATTCGTATATGGTTAAAACAAGCCAATAATATTCGTTCTTTAAATCGTATCGATTTGTTGTCCTATTTTTATTTAGCGACAAAACAAAAGTTAACTACTCTTCGGTTATTAAATATAGTTTGTATTATATCATAAGAAGTTATTTCTCGTTTATATATATATATATATATATATATATCCTCATATTTTTCTAGATCGTAATCGTATTGTTTTCGTAATTTGCATCTTTTAATAGCAAGTGGTTATCGATAAATGAGAATATTGTATGCTCCGAATGATCAACGAATCATCTGCATGGATGTAAAGTTGTGGTAATATTGGTGTAATCAATTTAATAAGACACAAAAGCGCGGCAAATAGTTTTAGATTGTTTTCGTTTAGTTTAATAAATATAATACAACTATATATTATATGCGCGCGCGTTAAACTAAACATATTATATATAATTTTTTTCATTTTGTTTATTAATTTCTTAATAAAAAAATTAAGGTTAACTCACATGATCTTTATAAATTTAATTCTTTCTTTTTTGCTCTTATAATCCAACCATATACGATGTTTACATTAATTGGGAAAAATAAATTATGGCTATTGTTACAGATGAACAAACAGATAAACAAAGTCCGTCTCATGATTTATCCGGTCAGCTATTTAATTGTGAAATTTGTGAAAAACAATTTGCTACAAAGAAGCTATTAAAAAATCATATTTTTACTCATCTTGGAAGAGCTCGCGTGGTACTTAAGAGAGTTTCCAATTTGAAAGTACTTAAAAGAAAACACAGTGATACCTATTTCTTGAGTTCAGAAAAGAGTCAATCTTTGAAATTAAAACTTAAAAAAACGACTTATACTGATCCACTCAAATTAACGCTTAAGAAATCATCTGTGTCAGAAGACTTTATCGTAGTCAGTACTAATCATAGTCTGAATACAATTAATTTCTCTGCGGAAGACGTGGCAGGTGAAAAGGATAGAAATGAACAGAGTGATGCTGAAGAAACAGATAATTCAATCAAGCAAACATTTGAAAACGTGATGGTAGATCAACAGGTATGCTTTTTTCATAGATTACAATTATTTCTACGTTTCATTGTTTTAAATTATATTTCTAATTTCTATAGGACGATTATGAGAACGCTAAATTTGAATCTGACAATGATAATTCTTTGGAAGAAAATGAAAGACCATCCTTAGATATTAATGAAGGCGATTCTGGAGTAGGAAGTGATATGGCAAATCCATCCGAAAAAGAAGATCAAAATGTTGACGATTTACACGGGTCTGATAATTATAATAATACAGAAAAGAGGCTTTCAGAAATAGAGGATCATGAAGAATCAGATGCCTTAGAAGCAACATGCAGAGAAACAATAGAAAATTTAAAGAAGTTAGGAGAACAATCAAGGTAATTTTTGATCATGTTTATTTATTTATATTAATCAATTGAATTATTATAAAACATTAACACTTTGATATCCGGCATATGTCCAATACTTTTGCCACTGAATGGCATAGAGTTAATTTAAAAATATACATATTTTCAGTTCTAGATCTATAAATCAGTTAATTAATAATTCTTCCGTTGATGAAGATAATGATACAGTGAATGAAGTAGACATGTTACATGATCTTGAAGAAAATCCAGCTATAAGCATTATCTCTAAGTCTTCCACATTTTCTAATCATTCTGTGTCCGAAGATAATCCAAAACAAGCAGTAGTAGAAACAGAGACTGGATTTAATTGGAATCAATTATCTACAGATTTAACACATAAAGATAAACTTGGTTCAAAAGAGAATGAAGATCACGGAGAAAATTCAAATGAAAACAATATCGAAAATTCTACATCACTTTTGCATAACTTTTTAATGGAGAGACGTGATCATAGTGAATTGATATCAAGCAGTTTACCACCAGTTGAAACCGAATATGTTTCTTTAGAGAAATTAGCTGAAACTGTTAGCATGTGTCGCGTTTGCAATGAAAAGTTTAAAGATATAACGCATCTCGATGAACATAGAAGTAAAGTTGGTCATTATCAGTGCAATATTCCAGACTGTGCCAATCTTATTTTTCATTCACCGGTGGAAGTTTCTATGCACAAATCTCAAGTGCACGGAACGTCGCTGTCTCCAAGTGTTAGTCAATTGTCTCCCCACTTAAATACGAATTCTCCTCATTTAAATCAAAATTCGCCACATTTACGGCAAGCTTCTCCACAGTTGAATACGCATTCACCGCATCCTCAGTCTATGGAATCTCCATCGCAACTTAGTCGAAATTCTCCGTTGACAGCTCCTCATCAAACAAATTCACCAACATATAATGCTGTAACCAGTAATACGACTCAACAAATTATACCACCAGTTAGTTTCGACCAATTACCAGCACCTGTACAACAATTAGCTCAACAAGTGCAACGTATGCCTCTTCCACAAACGCAATTACCTCCAAGTCTTCCACCGGGAGCTAATACAATGATACCTGGAACAAATTACTTTGTACCGCCGCCAGGAAGACCACCATTATATAGAATTTCTGGTCCACATAGTATGCATTACCAGTCTCATTTATCTCATCTGTATCCACAATATGGACCTGGCCCATACCCACAAATGACTGGTCCTCCACAAATGCATCCTCAACTTTCTCAACAAATGTCACGTGGTCGATATCCATCAGTTGCACAGAATACTAGGTTAGATATAATTGTAACACAAATAAAATAAATTGTAATTGTAGTCTTTAGTATTTAGAATATTTAATTAGAAAATATATACTTTGATGTAAGTAATATAATTATGAATTTTGTTAGGTCGCCGCGTATACCTCAAAGTGGCACCGTTCCTCGTCAACGTTTGAAAAGACCAATGCAACAAGCAGTGCAGTTACAACACCAACAACAGCAGCAGCAGCAGCAACAACAACAACAACAGCAACAGCAGCAACAACAGCAGCAACAACAACAACAACAACAACAACAACAACAACAACAGCAACAACATCACCAGAATAACACTGTTGTAAAACAAAGAAGGTTAGATGTTTTAATGCCGGATAGAAATGAAGATGCAGATTGTCATGTTATCGCACAACAGAAGAGGAATGATGGATTACCTGTTATACAAAATGTTCAAGGAGCTACAACCCAACAAACAACCAATAGAAATGATTCAACAATACATCTTACTGATTCCATAACTCTTAGTGTTAGACAACCTGGTAAGTTGAACATGCAACTGATTGTTGTAGTAATGTCAATATTTTTGAGAATATTATTTACTTTATTTCACAATCAATTATTATTGAATGCCATTATTGAAATGCTAATAATATTCTTGTCAAATAATTTTATTTTATGACGTTGTATAAATGATTATTTTTTTCATACTTTTGTATATTATATTTGTATTATTGCATTTTTATATTTTCTATATTGATTAATTTTATTAAAGTGCCTCTTCTGACAAATATCTTTTTATTTATTTTTATTTAGTTATTGTAACTTTATAAACATTTTATCTATTGCTATTAAATATTACTGTACATTTTGCTATATATTTCCATTAATTTGATGTTAATATTAAAAATAGAGAAGAGGTATTTTACAAAAATATAGAAATATATTATTAATTAAAAGGTTCTACTCCAGCTCAACTTCAAAATACATCAAATCCTGGTAGTAAAAAGTCGGATGCGAAGGCAGTGGCAAATGTATTGGCAGCTAGAGGTATTACAGTAACTCCTGCTGCAAATAAAAATAAAGCCAGTGAACAAAGTAAGCAGCAATCACCAGTATCGCAACAGAGGCCTACTACGCAGCAGTCTTTAAATGTTCCAGCCCTTAATTTAAATTCAGCAATTTCTATTATACCAGCGTCACAAAAGAAGCAGCAAGAGCAAGGACAATTTGCTGTTCCTCAAAATAAGCAAAATAAATCGCTAATAGGTGATGTAGAGCGGCCACCTAGACCTCCTACGGTTGATTTAACTCAAGATAATCCGCCTCAAGTGCCAGTAATACGACGAGGAAGGCCTCCAAGGTATGTAATATATGTATTCAAATTATATTTGATTTTTTTGACGCGTATATATCTATTTTAGAACATTACTCACTTGTCAAATGTGCGAGAAAAGTTTTCAAAATCAAGATATGCTGACACAGCATATGGCGACACATAGATCAATAAATAAACTTCTTCACAAGTAAGCTGTATTATTATTTTCTAACAGTTATCTAAACTAAATAATGCAACAAGATGATTAATAAAAGTACCTATATTTTATTTAAAGGTGCAATCTATGTTCTGCTCAATATCCAACAGCTCAAGCATTAGTTACGCACAAACAAACTTATCATAAAGAAGTAGAAACTTTGACACAAACTGGAAGTATAGAATTGGCGATACCGGTAGTAGATTTAAAATCCCCGCACGTGTTAAATCGTTTAACAAATTTGGGAATTCAAAGTTATATACCATTATCTCAATTAAGTGCTCAAACGGGAGGATATTTTGGTCTACCAATAATAACGATAGATGGTGCAAGAAATCCTAATACGTGTAATTTAGGCGCACTTGGTGCTACATCGATACTAAGCCTTGGTCCTCTCAAACATTTGTCTAATAGGTAACTAGGAAGAAGAGGCTTTTTGGTAATTGTACTAATTATTTTGTACATTTTTTTCAATCACCATTATCTTCCTGTATTTGGGTAAATTCATATATTCTATTGTTTCTTTCCATGACTTGTTATCATTTTAATCGGTTCGTTTTTTTTCTTTTGCTAGTATTCATTTTTATTTGATATGTATGTGCATATTATTATTTACATTTATTTAAGTAAAGTTTCAAACATTAATATGATTTGAATGAACAATATTCTAGTTTTCAGTTTAATATTAAGATTAAGATTATCAGAATAATTGTTTAAATTTACTTATTATTTGTAAATAGTTCTAGAGCAATACAGTATTCTTAATAATGGTTAGAAAAACTTTTCAATATGTTTATAATAACACAGAAAGAGAGAGGGAGAGGGAGAGGAAGAGGGAGAGGGAGAGGAAGAGGGAGAGGGAGAGGGAGAGGGAGAGAGAGAACGAGAGAGAGAGAGAGAGAGAGAGAGAGAGAGAGAGAGAGAGACCCGAGAGAAATACAATCAGTAAAGTATGTATCATATATTTACATATTCTGCACTAATATAATAGAATTTTTGGGAATGGTGTACTTCATGTGCAATTAAAAAAAAATTAATGTAATATATTTTTTTTTATACAAGAAAATACGAGAGTTAAGTCAATGTTTACTCTCATTTTCCCGTAAAACATACTTTATTAGAATTTACACCAATAATCATTTTCATTATTTATAATTCATCAGATTCGCACAACATTTTTTCCCATTATTACAAGCAGTACAAAAAAAAGCAAACTTTTTTAAAATCATTACTTTGAATGTAAATTTAAACACATACACATAACAATGTATTTCTTTCTATTATATTTCATTGAAAATTTTTATTTAAAAATAAATTGAAACGGATGTAAGAGAAATTCGCGGTTTAATTTATGATAGTTGGACATTAAAGTTTCGGTTAATCATATTTTGTGTTAATAAAATGTAATATAAAATTTAGATTATAAAAATTATAATACTACAAGCAACCTACTTTTATGCAACTTCATGTTGTTAAAAATTAGTATTGATTTGAATATGAAGTTTGTTCTGTTAAAATTTCTTATGATTTTCATTTAATACAAAAAAATAGACATTTACAGATCGTACACGTAATCGTTAACATACAACATCGATAGATAATTTTATATTATATAATGCGATTTTAATTAACAGCATATAAAAAAACATTACGTTATTAAAAGAAATTTATTATTATATACAATTAAATTTGTGCTTGTGAGGTTTAAAACAAAGCAAATCTATTTTCATAAATATTGAACAAAAATATGATATAAATTGAGAATATACACATTATATATTTACTTCTTTGTTTGGACATTATTATAAACTCGCGCGCTTTTTCAATGTTATTGAAAAGTTTTTGTATTTTGCGACAATTTTGCATTTACAAATGCAAAGTGCACAAAGTTGCTGATGTACCTAAAGCAGAGATCTCTTGTCTGCTAATTTAATAAAATAGTATATCTCAGAATTTTTATCTGATTCGTTCTTGTTGTATACAAGATGTAACCAAAATAAGAAGCTAAAATTTAAGAATTAGATTCCTCGTACACAAATAGTGAAGAAAAATAAAGTTTCTTTGATGGAAATACTTTATTTTTGAATTATACAATTTCAAGTATTATTTTAGCGTGCTTCAATTATGTTCTTTTTATTTGCCACATTTAAAATTAAGACACCAATTAGTGTAACTACGTCTGCTGAATTTTTTGTTTGTATTGAATATTTTATGCGAAAAGATTTTAATAGAACATGACATCATTTTAACATAATCGAAGTACGTTAAGATTGTACTTCAAATTGTTTCAGTTTCATATTGATAAAACTTATTTCTTTTCTCTATGTATGAAGAATCTGTTCTTTAAATTTTATTGCGTATTTTCATTATATATATCTTACTACTTGCGTCCAAATAAAAATAAGAAGTTTAGAAGTTATGAAATTAAAATAGCACGTTACTTACATTAAATTATACAAATTTAACAAACTTCATTATTTTCTTTTTGTTTTGTTTTACAGTTTATATTTTAAAACATCAAACAATGTATATAGTTAAATTTTTAAAGAGGGACATACACACACATATACACACACTTAACGATACATTTGTTTATACAAGAATTGTATTCATGAAATTTATACGTAGGTTTGTACATAAATGTTTCAAATATACACATACCTACTCTTACATCCTATTTATAATAATTGATAATTATAATTAACAAAATAACCACTTGATTATTATTTATTATCATTCCTATTAATGGCATATTGTTATTTGTAAATAATTATTTTCCATTATTTTTGTTTGTTTTATACACGCCTCATATGTATTTTGGTTCGTATATCGATTATAATAATAATATTGTTAGAGCAAGAGAAGTGTAAGAACTGATTCAAAATAATGATAATATTATTGTTGTATATATTTGTATAATAATAAAAAGCTGATCAATATAATATTTTGATTAAGTAGATAGATATATATGGGAGCAATCAGGTATTGCAAAAACAATTTCTTTCTTGTTTAATCTAAACAAAATATACTACAAATTTAAACAAGTAATTATATCTTGCATATTTATTATATACATCCTTATTTATATATTTTTAAATAAACATTATAAGTCAACATTTAATCATCTGCTAATTTTAACCACCAAATTAAAAACCCTTGCTTTAATATCATTATTGGTTATTATTTTTACAATAAATATTTAAAAAATGTATAATTTTTTATATTGTACATTCGAAAACGCAGGTTGAAAAATTGGATGTATTAATGATTTTTGAATTTTTCGCGCTAATTTCATTATTTGAAAGAACATATTGAACTTAGCCAATCAGCGCGCGTCACTACCATGCAATGTCACATTGTCTTTTGATTTGATGTGTAATATTGTGCGGTGTGAGTATAAGTTAATGTTGCTCTTATTATAATTAAACAATTAATTACTTTTGATGTCCATGTGTCGGAGTGAATAAAAGGAACTTTGTTTACTTGGTTAATAAAATAAATTTGTTAATATGTAATTTGTTGTAACAAATAATGATAGTTTATACCTATTGATCTTGATTGATGTAGACATCATGCAAGACAATGGAATTGCTTTTGTTCGTATTTAATCTTTAGATTATTATAGTAACAATTTATAGTTTTTTGAATAATAGTAATAGTAGTGTTATAATATTACAATGTTATAGGTTATAAAGTTATTTGTAAAATTTCAAGAAAGAGTCTTGGTATGTGCATGTATATAGAAAGTTTTTAAATATTTATCTTCCATTTTTCAAAAGTAGTATATTTCAAATTGTTAATTCTTACATTTTAGTATTTCACGATGAGCAGCGGTACACTAAATTCCAAGGCAGAAAAATATTTTTATAGTTTAAGTCCTTTGGCTCAACGTATTGGCGAAGACATAACTGTGACAAAAGAAGCTTACGAAGGTCTTTGGAATACTTTGAGTATTTCAGAACGGAACCAGGCGATTAATGAAACTATCATTCGACCTGAGGTAGCTTTGCAATACGCTGTTAAAGAAGTTGAAATTTCAAAGGAATTACCCGATTGGTATCCAAAACTTCGTATTCAAACTGGTATGAAATATGTTATCGATGAAACAGGATCTGTAAGTATATTTAATAATTAGAATTCTTGAAGATCCCCCAACATTAAGTGTATACTATCTATGTCTGTCCTATTGCAGACATTAAAATGGCGAGACGAACACTCCGCACCATTTTCATTTATGACTCAATCTCAAATGAATTTAAATTTAGTAGATCCCAACGAAGATATAACATCCAAATGTCTTAGATCTCATTTCGGAGAATCTCCGCATTTTTCAAGCCCCATTAAATCTCAAAGAAATAATTCTAATTCCATTACCGACAATTATAATTCTAATCAAACTAATCGTTACCAATCCGAGTGTTATTCCAAAAGTTTGTTCGAAGATGAACCGTGTGGAAATTTACAGAACAGCGACATAGATACTGAACACTCTGAGAGTATATTTGCTAAGTTAATTAATAAAACTTCCTTATTAAAATTGCAAAATAATTTAGAAGACGATATGGAAAGTTTGGTACATGATAGGGATTCGGATAAAAGTCAATCCAATACATTGGTAGCTGTTTTGCGAACAAAGTCAAGCGATATTAATGAATCGACGGCTCTCTTAGAAACACCTAGCTCTTACAGTAGTTTTCAGTCTTCTCAATTAAATCACGATGAGGAGGAAAGATGTATACCAAAGACTGGATTTGAATTTTTAGATAATTGGTAAATTAACTTCGATCATTTTTATGCTTATATACTGCAAGTTCAAAATCAAAGTATTCCTATAATTATTTAACTTAAGACTGTTTTATATATACATATATTTCAATATACATGTAATTTAGTATTAACGACAAATACTCCATACATTTTATCTCCTCAATTATCATATTATATAGACTGTATTTGATAAATTAGATTATTATCATCCGTACCATGGCTTTTTAAACTTATTTATTCCATACTATCTTTTTTTTGTATCATAAACTTATAGAAATATTACATGTATAGTCTTGCCAAACTAGTTTTGAATTAATTTTTGGTCGTTGCGTGTTTAAATTTCTGCAACCTCCAAATTTAGTTATGTAACCCCATACTGTGTTGCAGCCTACATTTTAAGAAGCCCTGATCTATACATATCGCTTATCATTAGTATTGTGTGTATTTAATGCATATAGATATAAAATATATAATACAATGATATATTTTATTGCTAAGTGTTAGAAAACATTATATAAGATTATGTTAATTGATCTAATATAATACATTTTGAGCTTTCATTTTATTTGCTCACGGATCTCAATATGTTTATTTTATTTCTTAAGCGAACATTTTTTTAAAATGTACTATTATATTTATATAACTGAATAATATTACCAAGTAGTATTAAAAATTAAGTAGAAAAAGAAACAAGAGTTCATCATATAATATTTTGATAAATAATATTTGTTCGTCTATTTTGAGATATGTATTTTATTTTAAAATATTTTTATAGAAAAAATTATATTTAAAACAAATTGTTTTGTAATTTTAATATGAAACTATATATGATACAGAGGCTATAATAATTTACTTAGATCTTATTTCAATCATTTGCGAGAAATGGAACATTTTTATGTTACATCTGAAAAGTACAATACAATAAGTAAGAATAAAAATAATAATAATTAACCCTTTATGAGAAGGGGGGGGGCTGCTTTATTAAGAATAATATTTTAAGTAATTATATATAATAAGAACATTTATATAAATAAAATATATTAAGTTTGTATATGTAATGTGTGTATAATGTGTACACAAAATATGCTTTTTTAATATTTAAAAAATTTATAAATGAAATTTAAATACACAAGATACTTCATACACATACTTACAATTCGTTTGTTAACTCTCTCTAACATTTACTTATTTATAAGTATTGATTTATTCAATAATTTTCTGTTTAAATGTTTTGCAGTATTAAAATCAGATTAATACTCATTCAAGTAAGAATGATATAAAGTACATATCTATTAATATAGTTGAAATATTAAACAATTTCGATCAGATATTTTATTAGATGAAAATTTTCAACTCAAAGTTATTACTGCGCAGGAACGTTAAAAAAATCTTAAATACAAATAGAGTGTATTAGTGTATTAAAATAATTATTAATTAATCGATGGAAGTGTCTATTGTTGTCTAAAAGCTCGGAGTAAATGTTTTGTCAACCGTCTTCCTCGAAATTCACCTTGAGACTGGCACTTTCTCCTTCATGAAAATTCTTTTATTAAAAGTTGTTTATATGACCTCCCGAACGTTGCGCATGTGTATAAATGAAATAATACAACTGATTAATAGAACTTAAGCTTATAACATTCTGATTGTAGTATTTTTATCATTTTTATGTAATTCTTTCCATAAATGTATATTTATTTTAATGTTCTTGCGCAGTGATGACTTCGAAGAGATGGGGTAAAATTTTCATCTAATAAAATATCTTAAATTATATTCTCCGAGCTTTTAAACAACAATAGACACTTCCATCGATTAATTAATAATTTTTTTAATACATTAATACACTCTATTTGCATTTAAGATTTTTTAAGCACATATGCATTGACTTAAACATTACATACCTATTAACGTACTTTGAATATTAAATAATATTTCGATCTAATGTTTTATTAGATAAAAATTTGACTCCACCTCTTCGAAGTCATCACTGCGCAAGAACATTAAAATAAATTTACATTTATGGAAAGAATTACATAAAAATGATAAAAATACTACAATCAGAATGTTATAATCTTAAATTCTATTAATTAGTTTTATTATTTCATTTATACACATGCGCAACGTTCGGGAGGTCATATAAACAACTTTTAATAAAAGAATTTTCATAGAGGAGAAAGTGCCAGTCTCAAGATGAATTTCGAGGAAGACGGTTAACAAAACATTTACTCCGAGCTTTTAGACAACAATAGACACTTCCATCGATTAATTAATAATTATTTTAATACACTGATACACTCTCTTTATATTTCAGATTGTTTAAACTAGAATACACTTTTTTAGCATTCCGTGATGACTGAGAATAAGAAAAAAAAAATCTTGTCGCAACCCTTCATATTCTATGTCGTACAATGCCTTCACATGTTTGATTCAGAACTTTTCAGCCCTACTATATACAGTATAAGCAATACATTTTTATTATATATAAGTATTGCTTCCATTTGTTCCGTGTAAGTATGAAAAAAAAATTGACGCAACCTTTCAAAAATTATGACAAAAATTTGCATCCCCCTTTGCATAATAGGCTAAGAACTTGATTTTTCCATTAAAAAAGAAAATTTATTTTCATTCACAGTATTTTGTTTAAATAATTGATTCTTATCTAATTTGATTGTGTTTATTACAAAAAATATTTTATTATTTAAATCTTTAATTTAATATGTGACAGGGTTAACGTGTGTGTCAATACATCTCTGTAAAGACGTTTCTTGTTTTGCATCAAATCTCTTTCCATATCTGTTTCGTTGCTCGATATTGTCGGTGTACCGTCGGTGTTTTCTATCATAGTCCAAGCGTTTGATTTCAAATGTTCTGTAATTTGTTTTTGTCCCAATGTTTCTTTGCCTTTCCATTTATTTGCAATTTTATTACAATCACATTTTTTTTCAAAATTTTCTAATTCCGTTACAACCGTATTAACGCTTATAAGTTCTTTAGATTTTTTCGGACAACTTTTGTTCAACCATTGAAAGATGTTCTGTTCTGTCTTTTTTTTAGATTGTTTAGATTGTTTAGGTTGTTGTCGATTTCTCGAAGAACTTCTTCGTACTTTCATTGCATTTTTAGTTAACAATATTAAATTATTGAAATCGACTCCTTGATTATTTTTACGAATTTGAGAAGGATCTGTGTAGAGTTCTAATGGACGTTGATAAACTGGAATAGCCTTGGGAGTCACCTGATTTCAAATGGTAATTATTATTTTTTCATACGTAAAACTTTAATCATTTATCATATATTTCGATTACCTGTTGAGGTCTTTGATTAATAGTATTCGTATATGTTGTTTGAAGTGATCTATAAATTGGTTGAGTAGCGGAAGTAACTGGTATGTGTATTTGTCCAGGAGCTGTTACTCTTTGGATCCATTGATGAGGTGTTCTCATATAATGATTTGTGTCGATGCTTGGTAACATTGGTATAGGTACATTCTACACAATATGTTAATAAATTATCAAATAAAAATGATTGGATTTATTCGCATAGATTATTTCAAAACTCAATCTTATATTTACTTGGAAACTTGTCATCATTACAGTTTCGTAAGTTCTGTTATACGGAAAGAGTTCCTTTTGATAACTCTTTTCATTCAAAGATGGAAAATATTGTACAGGATTAACTCTTTGTTCTTTATGATTATTAAGACAAGCGACAGGAAACTTGGGAAAAAATTCAGGTACTTCTGGACTCAAATTAGGAGCCAAAGGTTTTCTCATTATTTCGTAACCATCCGTTTGAAATGTAGTCTGATGATAATCCATTTTTAATGCCAGAGGTTGATACTGTACAGCACAGTATAATTGTTGTTGGCCTTTGCAGACATTAACGCATTGTTCCTGACGATTACACTGTTGCGGTTGTTGTCGTTGCTGGTAATGCAAACGTTTGTTTGGAGTTACGAATAACTTTTGTTGTTGCTGTTGTTGTTCCGTTTTCATTGGATTCCAAAAATCTCGTACATTTTCACAAGAAATGCATGCTTGCAATTGTATCTCTGTTGGTGCATCGATGGTATAACGAGGTGGTTTGTATTTGTTATATTCGCTGAGTTCAGCATTCTTTCCTATCGTATCCGAATCTTGTAAAATTATTATATAATGTGTTACTGATAGTATTTGTATTAACAATTACTATTACTCTATTAACCCTTTTACCGTGAACATCACCTAGATGCATACGTCACGTTTTGTTTTTGAGCGTATCACAGTTAAAGGGTTAATAATAATATTATATATATTAAGTTGTCCCACAAGTTCTTTTCGCGCCACGCCATGTATGATTTCGAGCCACAAATTTGGAAAGAGGTCATAATGAGGCTTCCTGAGAGATGGAAGAAGGTAATAGAGCAAAACAATTCATATGTAATACAGTAAATCAACCTTAAAAAATAAATATCGTCTATTGATTTCGTATAAAAAAAAGGAAGGAATTGATGGGACAATCTAATAGTATTGCAGATAGATAATTAAAAGGAAATACCAATATTACTATGTTTATAAATCGCAAAAAATTCTCCACCGTGTCTTCTCGTCCTTTTCTTTCCATTCGAATTAATCTTTAATCCATAATGTTCATTCTGCAAAACATCATTCCAGTTTGTCTTAAAATGATGATGTATTCGAGTATTATTATATTCTTTTTGCAAGCAATCGGTAGACTGCAATTCCTTCAGTGCTGAGCTTTGCGAATAGAATTGATTAGAAGTTAGCGTGACTTTTTAAGATCTACGAAATCTTGTAATTGAAAATATCGAATGGCTAACAGTTTCGGATTAAGTCTTCTAATGTTTCCTGAAATCAACCGATTGAAATGTTCTTCCACTTCGGGTAACATCCACGGTTCCGTGATCTCTTCCGCGTAGAAATGAAACGTATTGATAGATGATCGTACGTTATTTTCCGATTTATACATTTTCTCACGTTCCTCATTATATTTGTAATTACCGTATTTTGATAGTCGTGATTCTGGGATAACATCTCGGACATGTTTCGGACAAGTAGCACCTTTGTCTTTGTATTTTTCAATCAGTTTACAACTCTAATTGTGTATATTTATAATCATTAAAATTTGTTTCAATTTATTTAACCCTTTCGTGTTACACGACTTATAGTAACGAAAATAAATATAAACGTACGTACCTGTATCCATAAGGATTGATTTAAATCCCGATATAAATCCTGTTTATTGAATACCCAAGTTTGATCAGCTATTAAACTTATGTTAGCATAAGCGCCATTTAAAAGCTCGTCGTCGAATGACGAAAATGATGATAACATTATCCGAACATCATAAATGATCAAACATGTTCCACGATAATCGATTGGGAATCTAAAGAACCGTTTAAAAAGGAATGCATGTTCGAGTGTGTGTTTCTTAATTTTTCCTAGAAACATACATGCATACATACATACATACATAATTTATGTATTCTAGATTTTAATTTATACCTTTCCTTTTTTTTCTATGTTAAAAAATATTATTATTATTATTATTATTATTATTATTATTATAAATTATCCAATAAATTATCCAATAAATTATCCAATATTATTATTATAATTATCCAAGAATATTTTGAGATACTAGAAGCAATGTGACAAGATTTATAATATGAATTTAGAAACTTTTTCACAGCTGACTCGATTTTTTTTGACAGAACACACTCGATACCAGCAGACCGTTGAGCGTTTTCATTTTTCTTTTTCTTTTTTTTCTTTTTTCGATTAAAAATTTTTCAGTTATTTACAGATATAAAGATTTGCAAGCACGCGAACAAGAGTGAATGAGTAAAAGTAAGAGATAATTCTTTCTGTTTGTTTTTTTTTGTTAAAAAAAATCTTATGCAAATTTTTTTCACGTTTATTACAAGTTAACGCACATATACACGCACGCATACATACATACGTTCGTAGATTCATACATTTGCTTTTTTTTTTGTACAGAAAAACGCGTACGAATTTATTTACAAGATTAAAGTTGATAATTTACAATCGTCGCAAACGATCGACGCACGAATTATATTCTATATATATATGTATATTTCTATATTTATAACTATATTAATTATTATATTATATTAGGGAGTATGAAAAATCAGTCTGGTAGCTTCGATGGCGCGCTTCTCGCGTCGATAAACGCGAAGCTTATTAGAAAAACATTAAAAAAAAAGAAATAAGGAATTGTATCATCAATCTATCTTTCCTTCTAAATCTTTCAATTAATTTTTGTTGCTTTTCTTTTTCTTTCTTTAACCCTTTCGTTACTCGACATGCATTGGCACTAGTATACGCATGATCTACGACCCGTATATGGGTCGCTAGAAAGGGTAACGGAAGGGTTAACATTTGTTATATAATTATTTATATAACGACAAAAGAATTTCAAAATTAAGATACAACATTTACAGATATCGTTTCATTGAATTTTTTTCAAATTCATTGAATTTTTTCATCATTTACTTGCTTGTCGCGCGTTTTATTACGTACTCTTGTAATTAAAAAATTATTATTAAAAAGAAAAAAAAATAAAATGTATAGTGTGTTAATGTGTCGAATATGTAACTAAATGTAACAATTATTTTATTTTCTTCTTTTCGCGGAGGGAGGGGGGAGTTTTTTTTTCTTTCTTGTTTTTCTTTTTACGGACGAGTACCCGTGTTTGCAATGGCATTAAAATAATTGGATGACGATAAATGATAGGACGAATATGAAAATTCGTTATAGAAGATTTATCTAATTTATCTCATTTAAATTCGCTTATATTGATGATCTGTAGATATTAAAAAGTATAAGTATTTCCTAAATAACATACAACTATAACGCGTAAAGTAATTTTGATTAGAATATTATCGTTCGTTTATAAATGTATATATATACAAAAATTCACACGGAGACTTGTTAAATCCATCAATCTGTATCAAAAATCCGTGTATGATAAAGAAATAATGAAGATTTAAATGAACGCTACATGGACAGACTTTTTTCTTTGGAGAATAACATCAATATTCTCACGTATTAATGATAATAATATTTGAATCATCAATAATCAATGTTATCAGACGTATTCCTCCGAAGGTTTGGGTATACTAGCTGGAAGTCTAAGGGTATTGGGTACTCGATTCGCGCTGTCCGGCAGCTCGGCAATGTCGACAAAAACGCCGACGAGACTTTCGAAATTGGGTCCCCAATTTAAGAGATAATCCCAACTGAGTGCGGTTGTTGTGGTTGATGGCGAGCCATTATTGGTAGGCCTATAAAGACCACCCATATGGGTTGACAAATCATCGTCCGAGGCGACCAACGTGCTCAATGACCCACGAAAGGAACTGTCAAATCCATCGTAATTAACGTTCGGTGGTAACGGGGGTTTGGTTGATTGAGCTGATTCGTTGGTTCGCTGAGTGACTTCCTCGTCGTCCTGTTTGGTGAAAAGATTGTCGGATCTTTTGTCACCGACCAACGAACCATTGTCGTATTCAATTTCCGAACAGGTGAAACTATCATTCCCACTTTCGTCGGTGGTAGAGGAATTTCGTCGTTCCAATCTTTCGACCGGGGGTGTGTGGCGTCTGTGTAGATGAAGTGGTCCATGAGTTGGTGGCCCTCTTGCTTCACTGGACGAACTTACAGCGTCTAAAGTCGACACGAGACTCGATGTCCTAGGTCGGGAATTTAATCTTTCTATTTCTTCGGCTGTTAAACCCATTGGTCCGGATGATACATTGTTCACGGAATTTTCGTTGTTGGATTGTGGCGCCTTACGACTGGCTGTTAAGTCCGATAACTGACTCATGATGGGCGAGTTTAGACTTCTTTCGCTGTTCGAATTTAAAGCGTCTTTGCCTACACCACCGGAAGACGAAGTGGTTGCTAGTAAGGCACTCTGTAAAGGTTTCCCGCTGATGTCGTGCAAAGTTAGGATTCTTGGCTGTTGAGCGGATAACTCGCTGCTCGGCGATAGCCTAGCTAAAGGTGTACTTTGTAATAGTTTCGGTGCTGGTCCAGGCGGTTGATTTACGTTTGGTGGTGGCATCGCTCGTGGTGGAAACGGGCCAGTGTGTCTGTGTTGTTGTCCAGTGTGTTTGTGATGATTTCCGTAATTCCCAATGGGCGGTGGGGTTGCTTTGTATTTTCTCATGCCATCTCTATAACCTTTGTAATGATAAACTATATCGATGTCACTCGGAGCGATGGAACTCGCATTTTCGAGATCATAATGTTCTGGCATGTCAGGTTCCTGATTGTGTTCGTGCGAGTGAAGAGATGTTTGGGTCGGTGGAGGTAAAGGAGGATGTTCGTCTCTGATCGGTGGTGACTTAGTTACCTCTCGTTCGATTATATCCGGCCTTTGAGGTCTGTGTTCGCTCGTAGAATTAATTTCACGTTCTTTGTACTTCTTCGATATCAATTCCGGACCCATGTGACTAACACCCCTTAAATCCGATGCATCGGAAATATATGTATTTTCGTGACGCGACATGAGATTATCATTACCCGTGCCCACCATTGGATTACCGGTCATAATAGCGTTCGTATTTTTATTAACTACAGACGACGCTGATTTTTCTTTCTGACGTCTCAAACGGAAAACTATGAAACTGATGAGGATTGCTATTAACAGGACAGCGAAAAACACTACGACTAGGGTAATACCGATGTTTAGAGGATTGGGTGTTGTAGCTGTGCCAATGCCTATCGGTCCTCTGCATCCGGTTTTAATTTTTCCGTGGTATAACGCATCCTTGAAAATAGATCCTGAACCGTTGAACGGTTGGAGCTCGTTATTTATCGTGAAATTTGCCAGACAACCTTCGAAGCTCTTAGCGCCAGCACTTTGAGCATGATAGAAATTCTGGCTAGCTCCGCCTATCGATAGGACGGATAAGTATGGGTCGAGGAAATCGTGGATACTCGTTAAATCTAATTCGTCTCCTTTCGAGACACCGTCTAGGAGCAACCTCAAACCTCGGGAGTAAGCGTGTAAAGTTAGATTGTGCCAGTTACCATCCGCTAGTCCACCTTCGACGTGCATGGTCATGTTAACGGGAGAACCCAATAACGACGCATATGTCAACTGACCACCTCGTAGCTGTAAATGTAAAAATAAAAACGTTACAATATTTGTTCAATTTTTATTCCATCATATCTATTCTCGAAATATTGTCTTACCTCTACTGACGTATAGTGTTTGTTCGTAGCAGCATATATCAGAATACCATCAGGTTTAATGGTACGGAACATAAGACCAACCGTTTTTGATACCGGATTCATCGTGAACATGTTTGATTCTTCCGATGTTGTTCGTTTCGAACGATTTTTGTACCACATTGTTGATCCCCCATAGAGAGATTCTAATAATTGTATTCTTCTATGCTTGTCTGAAATCTGTGTCGACAAAAATTGATAAATAATATTCCACTGATGTAAGAATTATTTTAATGTTGCATATTTACCTTGAACTCGACGTATCCATTTTCGCTCAAAGTGATAGGCTCAAACGCGCCATGACAATTAGGTGAAATTAGGGATCCACATAGACAAGTCACTTGATGCCACTTGTCGTAACACTTTGAGTTCGGTCCGCAAACAGAGACCAAATTTTTATTATTTTTCAAGCAAGGACTTTTTTCCGATCGACTGCACGTAGGTTTAACACCTCGCAATGCTAGCGGATTTGTCAGATTTAGAGATCTTCCGTTTATCGATACTGAATGCATGCAGCCAATGAAATCGTCGGAGTGTACTTGTCCAGGTCTTTCCAATACAGGGTCGACATTTTCAAGACCACCCAAGAGAAGAGGATTGTTATTGAAATTTAAGGTCCTGTAAAGAACATATCATTCATAATGCGACCATTCGAGATTACGAGAATAAATTTAGAATACAAATCTTGAGGAAATATTAACCCAATTGGTCCAACGTCATCAGCATAGCAACTTCCATCGCCAGGCCTGCAATCGTCACAAATGTCACCGTGTTCTCTGCACGTAGATACGCTCAATGAAATGACCCTTCCATTTCTCGTTGCTGTTACTTTCCACCATTCCCCATCCGACACGCTCTTATCATTCTTTATCGATACCGACGTAATAGCACTTCTTGCACCACCATAAGAAAATACGACTCTTCCATTAATTAATTCTAGAACCACGAAATCCGATCGTCCACCTGTTTGTGGTGCATAATTGTATAACAACAAAGCATCCGGTTTCGTTGTAGCAAATACTATGGTTATGTCGTTAGTGTTGGCATCTAACGCTGGGAACGTCATGTAAGAAAGTTCGTCGAAACCGAAAGTAGAACGTTCACAGTGTCTTCCATAACGTCCTTGTGGACAACTACACCGGTAACTGTAATGCATAAAATGCAATAAAAGTTTCAAGATGAATACATTTAGAGAATAAATATTTTTGATCAATAATAGAATGATCAATTACCCTGGTTTTTCTCCGACGCATAGGCCACCATACAAACATGGATTTGGTCTGCACGAATCTGTGATAGCTTCACAGTGATTTCCTCTGTAACCAGCACGACAAAGACAAAAGAAGCTAAAACTGTCAGGACTTTTCCTACATGATCCACCATTTCGACAAGGATTGTTGGCACACGCGTCCCCTCTTTCCAATTCACATATTTTTCCTTCGCGATCAATAGGACACGTACATTGAAAGTCGTATCCCAATCTGCGACATTGACCACCCTGTAAACAACACACAAAATATTTTTTTTTATAGAACTTATTAAATTATCCTGTAAAATGTAGCTGTTTTTTTTTCTTACCAATAAGCAAGGATTCGGTGAACATGGATTCTGCCTTCTTTCACATTTCTCACCGGTAAAACCATCTCTACATATGCACATCATTTCATGCAACATTCTTGGAGATGTTAAAATCAATGTTTGACTATCGGTGATCCTAGCGTCATCGTATATGGCTAAACGACTAGTACAACTGCCACCATTTTCACATGGCATATTTTTACATGGAGAATATCCAATTGTAAACGTATTTCCATCAAACAGCGACTGGATTTTATCTCGATTACGTGTCAGTAACTCGCTAACTTCGTATTTTGTGCGATAACCTGAAGAAATAATAGAAATCGATGAGTCCATGTTCAAACAAACGCGAAACAATTGTTAACATTTAATTTCAATACTTTACCTTGCGGAGTTTCGATAGCCAAATGAATATTGGCATTGCCATTGCTTTCTCCAAGACTGAAAATCGTTACGATATCGTCGACGTCGATTTCCTCTTGCAATAAATCCAAAAGTGCACGATAATGTTGATTCAGAAAATCTTTAGCTGTTAGTTTCATGATTTGTAAGGTTACGCTGTTTTCTATCGTTGCATTTCTAAAGGAAATGAATTCTACGGTGACTTTTGATGTTACGTCAGGATGACGGCCGTCGTTACCGGATATACTCAGGGAATACCCGATACCTGTATTTAATAATAATAATATGATAACAAATTAATTATATATTATTTAATACATATCATTACGCACACACACAAACACACACACATACCAGGTGTAATTTTGTTGGTATGTAAGTCGCAAGCGTTTGGAATACTTAAAACTCTGGTGTTAGAACTTTGTAGGATTTTGCAAGAGTAAACCCCAGTGATGTCTGGATCGTTAGGATGCACATCTGCAATTTTGCCTAGTGGAGTAGCACCATTGAATGCATGTACTATTACATGGACAGATCGTGACGTCGAAGGACTATCGTTTTGATCGGTGACGATAACGGTAATTGTATGTTCACTCTTCATTCTTGGCATTCCAGAATCTTCAACTTCCACGACAAGATCTAATTGTGGCATAGTTTCTCTGTCTAAACTTCTCGTTGTTCTGAGGACACCTGAATGTTTGTCAAGCGTGACCATATCACTCTGCCTACCACCAACGAGTCTGTACGTAAACGGTGCACCATTTGGTGGTAGATCAGGATCAGTAGCACTGAGAGTCATGACACTGGTACCAGCTGGTTCATTTTCACTTACATAGCCGATTACTTCGGGTGGTTCGAAAATCGGACCGTTGTCGTTTACGTCAAGAATTTCGATATGAACTGTAGTTGTGCCAGTTTGTGGCGGTGAGCCAGTATCTATGGCACCGACGGTAAGATCATAGGAAGATATGGTTTCCCTATCAAGTTGTTTGGCTGTTTCTATGTCGCCAGTTTGTGGATCGACTTTGAACGCTTGGCCAAGATTACCACTGATAATGGAGTAGGAGAACTGATTGTTCTGTGGTCTTATGTCTTTATCTACGGCTCTAACGGTTAGTAAACGTGTCCCGTGAGCTGCACCCTCCGATACGCTGGTATCGTAAGTGCTCTGAAGAAATTCCGGTGGATCGTTGCCATCTTGAATTGATATGATTACTTGAGCTTCATCTGTATCGTTTCCACGTATACCACCACTGTTCTTTGCCATTACTGTCAGGACAACACGATTTTGTGTCTCACGATCGAGCCTCCTAGCAACCTTTATTATACCAGTTTCAGATCCTATCGTAAAACCACGATCGTTCGATGAACCAACGAACAGATAATACACCCGACCATCTTCTCCAGAATCCTGATCGGTTGCTTGAACTAGACCCACGGAAGTACCAACATCTGCACTCTCCGATACGTCCATGTGAAACACTGGTTGTATGAACTTGGGATAGAACTCGTTCACTCCTGTTATATGCACGCGAACGCTCGTAAAGCCAACCATTTGGGGACTAGAATCTGGATTAGCTGCAATTATGTCTAAAGTGTATTTGTTGGCTTCTTCGTAATCGAAACTGATCTCCGATGTTATCACTCCTGTGTTCTCATTTATACGAAAATGATCTTTTCCTGTACCACCTAGAATCTTGTATTCCACCACAGCATATTTGGGTGAATCGATGTCATGAGCGATTACCTGTTAACATAATTTAGTTGTTTAAACAAATGATTTCTATGATTTCCTTGATAAACTGATAAAACGGTGTGTGTGTTATACAAACCTGATCTACAAAACTATTTGGTGGCGAATTTTCTGGCAAATATGCTTCGTAGACGCTTTGATTGAAAGTTGGTGGATTATCATTAATATCCGAGACGGTGACGGTCAATGTAGCCACAGCTTGTTTTGGTTCGAAGCCCAAATCCGTCGCTGTTATATTTAATCTATACTTTTGAACGAGGTCGTAATCCAGAGGCTCCAAAATAGTAACTGCTCCAGTAACGGAGTGTACAAAGAATTCATTTCTTTCATTGCCAGCTGATATTTTGTATCGTACCATACCATTGGGACCAGAATCACCGTCAACAGCACTGATCGTTAGTATAGTCGTATTGACTGGTTCATTTTCAGGTACTCTGACCTGATAACTTACAGCAGCGAAGGTTGGCGAGTGTCGATTTTCACCCGAGATTACCAAAGTCAAATTCACTTCGTCTTTTTGCGGTGGCACACCTTTGTCCACGGCACGTGCTTTCAGTACAAACGTTGTACCAACAGCGATACCGGTCAAACTTCGACGAACGTAAACCCAACCAGTTTTCTCATCGACCGAGAAGTAATCGGTCTCGTTGACGCTCACAAACGAATATCTGATCTCAGCATTTGCACCGAAATCTGCCTCGTCTTTAGCACTCAATTGCATGATCTTCTTACCGACTCCGTAATTCTCAGGTACCGGTGAAAGGTAGGATCTCTGTTCGAATTTAGGCGTGTTGTTATTGGCATCTACAACGCTAACGTGAATGACAGTTTTTGAAGATAATGGTGGTTTTCCATTATCTGTTCCAATTATCGTCAGCGAATATAAATTTTCCGGAGAGGAAGGACGATGCGTATGCTTGTAACGGAGCAATCTTTTGCTAAATATATCACCGGTTGCTGGATCCACCGTGAAAAGATCCGATGGTTGTAAGAGACTGTAGGATATCACCGAATTCGGACCTTGTTTATCATTGTCCACAGCTGTCACTTGACCAACGTGCGATGCAGGTGGTTGCAACTCGGGGAAATGGAAATAGTAAACTTCTTCGTCGAATTCTGGTGGATTATCATTCTGATCTTGAATCGTAATAGTCAATGCTGTTTCCGTTTCCCATGCTCCGTCGGCTGCGACAATCTGCAAAGCAACAATTTAAAAAGTTATCGATACAAATTCGAATGATAGATCAAATCGCGATGTCGAACGCGTTTAATTTTATGCTATAAAAAAAAACTCTTTCGAAATTTAGCTTGACACCTCATATGACACATGACGCGTTTCCTTGCTTATCGTGCATTTAGATGTGCATGTTGAAATACCACTTTTTCTATCGCCAAGTGACAGGTATACTAATCTGTCTAAAGTATGTTAGGGTAAAATAGAAGGGGGGGGGGGAAAGAAAAAGGCAAACAACAAAAAATGTTACACTTTCTATAGGGGAATAAAAGACAGGTGGTCTGTACTAAGACCAGTTTCCTTTTCATTCTTACGTTATTTCATAAGACACGTATTTTATCTTGTATTATAAAAACTTTCATAAATCATATTAACTTATACCTTTAACAAATATTCATCTTGTTCTTCTCTATCCAAGTGACCAGCCACCGTAACGTTGCCACTTATTGCATCGATCGAAAACTTTTTTCCTGGATTATCTGTACAGATATAAGTGACATTTGCATTTTGGCCAATATCCATGTCGCTACTGGTGATACGTATGACGAATGTCCCGATCTCAGCGTTTTCCGTTACATTCACGCTGTACAATCTCGTGAAACGTGGTGGATTGTCGTTCTTGTCCAGTACCGTAACAATGACCATTGCTGTGCCAGTTAATTTCGGTTGACCTTGATCTCTGGCTTCAACGATCAATTCGTAAGACGATATCTAAGGGAAAATCAAGTTGTAATTATTCGGCTAAGACTTGTCGAGAAAATCTAGAACAGTTCTAAGCTTACATCCTCTCGATCTAATTTCTCGTTCGTACTGATTTCTCCGGTATAACTGTCTATCGTAAAAGATTCCGAAAAATCGTCGACCAAGTAATAAAGTACTTGTCCATTTTCACCGGAATCACGATCCTTCGCGGATACTTTGCATACGAATAATGGCGGATATTCTTCTTCTGGTACCGTTGCATTGTAGATGGATGCATCCATTATCGGTGCATTGTCGTTAGCGTCGGTCACGTTGACCAGCAACTGAACGACATTTCTTAATGCCGGTGCATCGGAATCTCGGACTTCGACCCAAGCTTCGTAATAAGGTGCTGTCTCGTAATCGAATCCAGATGCAACCAGAACCTGAACAAAGAAATAATCATATTGACAAATGTTAACGAAGGATTAATCTAATTATATTAATTATGCAATATACCTCTCCAGTATTTGGGTCGATCTTCAAAGCATCCCCAACGTTTCCACCAGCTATTCCATACACCAGATTACTGGCAGCACCGTCCTTGGGTGTTGTGGCACTTAATTTAGTGATCACTCTTCCTTCGGGCACATCCTCGGGCAAGGTAAATCTGGTGTTAATGTTAGATCGAAAGTTGGGAAAGAGTTGTTTTTCCCACAAGTGTATCATTAGGTCGGCTGTAACGTATTGCGGTTCCATGCCACAATCGGACGCTTGGATTTGTAATTGATATGTACTTTCGTCGCTGGTCAACTCTTGCGTAGCCCTTATCACACCGCTGTTAGAATCTATGACAAATTTATCAGCATCCTGTCCTTGTAGACGATAAACTATGCGAGAATTTTGACCGTCGTCGTCGTCCGTAGCTTTGGCACCGAAAACGAAGTCACCTATGGGGGTTAAACCCATTTATATGTATTTATATGTAATTTGATCCCGGCATACCCCCCTTTTTAGACTCAGATTCACTCATGAAATACATTATTATAGACTCGTTAATATTCTTACCAGGCTTGGTTCCGCCAGGAACGTAAGCCGTGTATCTTGGACTAAAAAATCGTGGAGCATTATCGTTCACGTCCTTAACTAATATCGTCAAATTAACGGTGGACGCTCTTGGCTCGGTTGGACTAGAATCTCTTGCTACCAACGTTAAATGATAAACCGAGGTTTGTTCCCGATCCAACGGTACTAGAGTGAAAATTTCTCCGGTATCAGGATTAGCCGAGAAACGTTCGGCTTTCTCTCCCAATAAACTATACCTGTTTCCGACAAAGAACAAATACGTTGATTGATCAGATTTCTTACTTCCCGTTGATCTTTCTTTTCGAATAATTCATCGATTATTATCAGTGTTTTTTCCTTATAATGATTTCAATAAGATTACCAGATCTTAGCGTTCAAGCCTTCGTCCCTGTCGGTGGCCAGAGGCTTTGTCACCCAGGTACCAGCTGGCAAGTTCTCCGTCACCGTAGCTTTGTATTCTTGTCGAGCAAATTCCGGACTGTGATCGTTCACGTCGAGCACGACGATCTTCACGATACCTGATCCAGTTAAAGGGGGAGAACCTGCAGTAAACCAGACGGGGAAAGACTCATTTAATGTACCATTTTACTGTCTCTCCTCGACAATGATTTCAACCAACTACGACCGTAGTTTAGATTTTAACGAAATTTCTTTATTATCATCAACGTTACACCCGGGAGAGAGAGAAAGAGAGAGAGTGATAAAAGGGAAAGGGAAAGGGAAAGAAAGAAGTAAGCCCGATATAGATGGACGTTATTCCTCGTACTTTTCACGTCACACGATTATTCTAGTCGATTTATGACCTCGGTTATGGACCGTTTATAGGAGCGTAAATCGGTTTAAGAGGGGTACCACCAAGCCTATCATTTCGTGGGCTTGTTATTATTTCTGAAAAGCGTATCCACGCAAAGAAGGAAGCCTCTTCCCTTCCTATATACCCTCTTTCAGAGATTTCAAATTTAATCGCAGCTATACGTGCCATCGGTCTCTCTCGCTCTCTTTCTCTTTCTCCTTCTCTCTCTCTCTTTCTCTTTCTCTTTCTTTCGATCGATATTACAGAGTTGAGATTCCTATCGAAGATTAAAGATTGCTAGAAATAATTCGGTGGACGCAGATGTAAAAAGTGGGATAAATAAATCGAATTATCTTCTCCCCGTTCTTATCTTTTTTCAATGAAGGGGCTCTCGGTTGGGGGAGGGGAAAAGGCGGTGGGAAAAATTGTAAAAACAAAACCATAAACGTGTAGTATTTTCGATAATTTACGATCGTCGTTCCTCTCTTTCTTCTTTTTTTCTCGACCGATCGAAGATTATTAGCGTGAATTAGCAAATTGTTGTTGTTTAATTTCGTATTCCGGTATGTAAAAATGATTGTCATTTTAAGGTGTAATTCTTGGTGGCATGAGTTACGATGAACTTTTTATCATCTCGTGGAATGATTATTTCACGAATACATTGCCCTAAGGCATTGCAACCAAGACAAAAGTATTTTCTTGGAAAAGTGATCTCTGCAATTGCAACCTTCGCATGACCGAAGGATAATAAAGCCTGTGTAGATACTGCCACGCCTTAATTATGATCACAAGGTGTCACGTATGGTTCCGATTGGAGATGCGGTGTAGGTACAATGCAACTGCCTCAAAGAATCCTTTTCACACAGAGAGACAGATTTATACGTAGACGTGTGTATACACGTAGATATCATCTCATTCGTGTGTAGTAGACGTAAGAAAGTTGTACGTGTCCATTCGGTGCATTGCGGATGCATCGATCGCGTCGGAATGAAAAGATTACTGGTTTATTTTTTTTTTTAAAGTATGCCTACGAAAAAATTACGAACGCACAAAAGAAAAAAAACATTATCTAATCGTTCAAACGATTCGTCGAGCATTAACGTTCGCAAAAATAATTGTTGACCGATTAAAAAAAAAAAAAAAAAAACGTTTCCGTCCATTCGGTAAATTCGTTCCATATTTTTTTTTTTTACATTTCATTCTTCGACGAGAACCGAACGATTCTTTTGACACTTCGGTAAGATGCGTGGTAAGATCGAAAGATCAATATTTTCTATTCGATCGTTCGTTATTTCGATCGTTCGATTGTTCCTTACCACGTACGCGTTGGTACGAAAACATTGAGAGAAGACCATACCCATCCTGCTGATTTTTCACTGAGAGAGAAGGTACGGTAAACCTATACCTATACTCTTAAAATCCACAAAGAGAGAGAGAGAGAGAGCAGAATGATTCGTACGTTCGATCGGATTTATTTGTGTGAGTGAGTGAGTTGGAAGATGCATGAATAAAGTAGAATATAATGTGCGAGCACACGGGCAGCAGTACCCGAAAGATGCATGGTTGGCAAGAGAGTTAAAAGGGTGGTGGTGGTGGTGGTGGTTGGGGGGGGGCTGGTAGGGAGAGTAAGGTCCAGAAACGACATCAAGGAGGTAGAAAAGAATGAGGGAGGAAAGAGGAGGGAGGAAAGTGAAGGAGACCAGCACCAAGCCAAGAGGAAGGCATTCGAGACCGATTATCATAATCGCGCGTCATAACTCTGTAGGCTTGTCTACCTCGCCGGACGACCGATTGGGCCATCGGGCCCAACGTGGATGGCCTGCTGGTGGACCGGTGCGAGGGTGAAAGGAGGGGAAACCCAGACTACTGCCATCCTACGGTGGAAATAAAAAAAGATCACCAAACGCGGGAGGGAGGGGAGAAGGAGAGAGAGGAACTGCCCCCATCGCTTTAAGAATCTCATCGAACAACCCACAAATTTATATCCAATTTGTATATTACAGCTCATTACTTAAAACCATCACCGAAGATATTCTATGCTGATTTTCCATTTCGCCCCATTGTTTTCAGGGTTTACCGACCGGAAAATGCGTTGGTCACATGGGAAATTTATTGGTCTGCAGTTTTAGGGTTGGGGGTGGGAGAGAGAGAGAGAGAGAGAGAGAGAGAGAGGGGAGGGTCTTGATATGCGGCGAGGATGTTTATACGTTTTATATTTCGTATTCATAAATATTAATTTTGAAATACGAGCTAATGATAAATATTGTGCGAGCCATAAAATATCTACTTCAAAAAATTAGGTATACATAATAAGCACGTAATTTACATGACGTTGTACATAAATGAATTGAGAATTTATTTCTAATCTTTTTAATGGTACCTTGGATAGTAGTGGTACGCGTATACAGCGATCGGCACTTTTTCAAGAGTTAGGGTACGGACGTTTTCTCAAATTTCTTTCTTTCGACACTTGGAACCTTTCTCGTTCCGAGTGCCAGATCGAGAATAATTGTCCATTGTTCACACTAATTCGCAAGCAGTTTACGCGGTCCCCAACCAAGATGGGGGCTCCGGCCGGTCAGTACCGGAGTGTATATACCTACCCGCCGGCGGAAAAATGTTCTCTCTAAAGAATACCCACTGGTTCTTTCAATACCGGTCTTTGTCCCGAGTACGAGGGTACACGCCTATTTAGCAGTTCATCCAGAGCGTTTGTATAAAACCTTCTCAAAGATATATCGCGAGCTACTACTTTGGATCTCTTTGAAAAAAAAAAAAAAACTACACCATCCTTTGCTTTTATTTCATTTCATTTCGTGAACGTTCGTTTGTTCGTTCGTTCGTTAGTTCATCGTATATAACAGGAATGGCATTTAATGTTGTTTCGTAAAATAATTCAATTGCTAATTGATTTGTAATTAAATTCTATCCTCATATCACTAAGAAAGAAATGTTAACTTTAACGTGCAAATAAAGAGAACGAAGAGAGACCGAACTTTCGATAATCTCGAGTCGTTTGCATTAATGAAGCATTTCGATGGAGTGGAGAGTGGACTTACCAGTGTCCATGGCTACCAGCGTGAGAGTGTACTCGGGTACCAATTCTCTGTCGAGTGGTCGAAGAAGAAATATGTCTCCGGTGCTAGCATTTATCCGAAACAGATCTGTGTCACCCTCTTTCAGGAAGTATCTAACTTGATCGTTGTACGGTGGTGTGTCGGCGTCGTATGCTTTAACCTTACATCGAAAACAATGAACAAATTATTTAAATAGGAAAAAGGATGTGCTGATGAGAAGTAACAAAAAAAAGAAAAGAAATCATTTGAAAAGATGAGATATTTGGGAAAGAAATTGATCGGATACAAGAGAAACGCATTTGCAAGGGAAGGTGTGCGTTCTCACACGTAGTGTGACATCTTGGAACGTCTCGGGTTGGTTGGTAATAAGAATCACCTTGCACGTACCATTAAAGGGAGAGACTTACGTTTTCTACGACGCAACGAGAGCGTATTATTGGAATTACCTGGATTACAAATCCTCCACCTGGCGGCACCATGTTCTCCATAACGTGTGCCAAATAAGGTGAGTCGAGAAAGAGGGGAGCATTGTCGTTGATGTCGAGGACAGTGATGGTCACTTGTGCCGTATCGCCGCGCGATGTTTCGCCAACTTCCGCTGCACAATCTTCCCCGCGAATAGTTAAATGATACCTCGCTTTGCGCTCGAAGTTAAGATTCTTTGCAACTCGTATTGCACCACCGTCTTCGGAAATGGTAAAGTCTCGATTCTCGTCGCCCATTGCTATGCTGTATCGTACTCTACCGTTGGCACCTTCGTCTCGATCCATTGCCGATACCTGATCGAAAATCATCGCAAACGTTCTTGCTAAATTTAATCCTAAGATTTAAAACTTTATAATGTTCCCTTTAGAACAGATTCGTCTACAATAATTACGATGAAAAACAAAAATGATAAGAGTTGAAAGATTGGTTACCTGAAGTACGCTAGCACCAATACTGGCGTTCTCAGCAACGGTTGCGGAATATTGTCTGGGATCGAAGATAGGTGAATTATCGTTCTCATCTAATACCATGACTGTGATGCTGGTAGTATTAGACCTAGATGGTTCACCGCGATCCTTCGCGGTAACTTCTAACGTATAATTTGATCTTTGCTCTCGATCTAAGGGTCCAGAAACGCGTAACAATCCGTCGACCGGGCCCAAAGTGAACGGTAGCTTATCGTCCTCCAAGGAATACTCGACGTATCCGTTTCTAGCTTCGTCCCTATCGATAGCTTTTATCGCCATTACCACGGTATTCATTGGGGAATTCTCTATGATCGATATCTTCGTAGGTGATATGAATTCCGGGGACATGTCGTTCACGTCCAGCAACACCACGGTAACCTGTTGGTTATTGGTTGTGTTACGTTCTCGTGAAATCACATTGAGAAAACGAGCACGGACGATAATTAATTATGTATTAATCGATTGCATCCACAAATAGAAAGAGAGGGAGAGAGAGAGAGAGAGAGAGAGAGAGAGAGAGAGAGAGAGAGAGAGAGAGAGAGAGAGAGAAATTAAAATATATGCACGTATGTGCGTATGTGTGAATCGAAGAAAAGGGACGGTCGAGTCGAGCAACAACACAGGGACGACGACGACTGTGGTTGGGCAAAATAAAGGAAGAAGTCCGCAGATAAGCTGGCCACGGAGACGAAACGCAACGATTTACTTTGGTAATTAACACGTTCACGCCACCTATAAATCAGGCGCGCTTTTATGGCCTTTCGGACGGAGGAGAGTCGGTATATCAAGCGCGTTTCTTGCTGAACTCTCGGAGCTCCCGCGCTCGTATTTATTCCACGTAACTCGACCACTTTCTTTCTCTCTCTCGCTCTCTTTCGCTCTCTCCCTCTCTCTCTCTCTCTCTCTCTCTTTCATTCGCTCATTCATTCGAAGGAGACCTTTTCTTTTTTTCTTCCTATATAAAAAAGAAAGGAAATAAAAATAAATACAAAAAAAAAAGAACTAAAGTAAAATAAAATAAACGAAAAGAAAAGAAGAGAAGGTGGAGAAGAAGGGAGAGGAAAAAGGAAGGGGGAAAAATGTTATCAAGCTATATCCTGCATTCGCGAATCAAGTAGGAAGAAAAAGAAAAGGAAGAAGAAGAAGACGAAGAAGACGAAGAAGACGAAGAAGAAGAAGAAGAAGAAGAAGAAGAAGAAGAAGAAGCAGAGAAGAAGAAAGTACAGGATGTAATTTAAAGTTCATGAGAGAGAAAGAGAGAGGGAGAGAAGTTGGGACACCCGAGGTGTTCAAATTGAAGCGTGACATCCTTCCTTCCTTTTCACTCTTTCACGAGTAGAATGAGAGAGAGAGAATACTCACCTGTACGGTCGAGGACAAAGGACGAGAGGGTGGAACGGCCGAGTCCGTTGCGCTCAAAACTAAATTGTAAAGTGGCTTCCGTTCTCTGTCGAGGGGTTTCCTGGTGTAAAGCGTACCGTTCGCTGCGACACCAAAATCACTGTCCTCGTCCCCAGCAACTACGGCATAAATCACCCTACCGTTCTCCCAAGAATCCAGATCTTGGGCGGTCACCGTTAAAACTGATGTACCTACGGTGGCATTCTCAACAATGTCCGCGGCATGCGGACCGGCCTCGAATATCGGTGCGTTGTCGTTTAAATCAACGACGTTGCAATAAACTGTCACCGTTGAGGACAACGCCGGTACACCACCGTCCGTTGCTTGGACCACCAGGATGTAATGTTGGATCTGTGAACAAATCACCAACGTGGAAAATAATCCTATTCTATAGGAATGTCGAATAATTTCTGATAGATCGATCAAACTCGATCGAGATTTCGAGATACACGCTCGTCGTCTCTACCACCGCGTGTAGTGTGTGTATTTTATTTATTAGAGATACGCGATGAATTCTCATTATCTACGATGATTCTGCATCTTTTTTCTTCTTTTATTCTTCCTTTTTTTTTTTTATTCTTCTACCCTCGAATTATAGGATCAATGAAGAAATAATACTTTTTTAATTGGAATGATTTAAAAAGAAAATAATAATAATAATAATAATAATAAAAAAAGAGAGAAATAATTTTGTTGGAACAATTACAAAGCGATATTTGAGAAAGGATGCAAAGAACTCTCTCTTCTTTCTCTTGTGATTTATCGAATTTTTCCTTGGATGGAGGGGGGGGGCGGGGAGGGGTTTGTCGAAAAGTAATTATACAGTTGGTTATTCTATTCCGGCGTGTCTCTTCTCTACCTTTATCTTAACACGAAGACAGTGTAGGAAAATAACGTCTTCTTCCTATTATCTCGTGCTCGTAACTGATCCCTTTTAAGGAGCAGAGAGTTAAACCGTTTTACAAGAACCGATGCGAATTTCGTGGAAGCGCCGAATTATTTGTTCGTTTCAAATGTGCTCCGCTCGGTGGATCCCCTTTTGCCCATCCGTATACGCATTTCACGGTCCGGTAATGATCCTGGCGTGTATCTGGGAACGATATTACGTTGATGAAGGGTTCTATAAACTACTCATTCTTTTTCCGCTGCTTCCTTCCTCTCTTTTTCTCACTCCTTTTTATCCGGAACGTGCATCGCTCGACAAGGGCCCATGTGTATTTGTCGAATGGACCTTTCACTCGCTTCTTTTCGTTATACAGGACTCGCACGAGTCCAATTTATACCTTCAACAACCCGCCCGAACCACATAGTTTAACATTATTTCACTTTTTATCATTCCCTACCTAAAAACTCCTGGACAATTAACGACGTCCAAAATTTTCATTCGTTCGAATAATCGTCGCGTCGAATCGTATTATTCTCGTTTTTTCTTTTTTTTTTTTTTTCTTCTTCTCTTTAATACTAAGATAAACTAAATTAACTCTTATATTTAATTATAAAATAATTGTTTTTTTCTTTTATTTGATTTATTTCGGTAAGAGATATAAAAATGTACTGACGAAAGAAGAGTTGGGGGCAACAATTCGTGGCACCCACGTTTTCTATGTGTGCGTCTGTCTCGACCAAGTATAACTGAACGGGTGGTTGGTTGGTTGGTTGGTTGGTTGGTGTACACACGTCTAAGAATAAGTATGGCTTGTCTCCGAAACGTAGCCCCATGGACTGTCATTAAAAGCGTCTGTTCATCGATCTGTCTGACTGTTAGCGTTAAACCCTAAATTCTAGTGTTGCGTTAGAGCCGAAAGGTAATATAATAGGTGCGCTTCGGTTCGTTCAATGTGAAAGAGGCGTAAGCGCATGGTTATAATCGTTGCCTGGGGCCTCGTAGTTGCGGACCTTTTAGCCACGAGTCATCTAACAGCGGAGAGAATTTCTGACTTTGCGATCGATAGTACCATCCTTCGATGATTTACTACCTCTACTTTTTTTCTACGTCGCCCATCCATCCATCCATCGATCCATCGATCCAACCAATCGGTCCTATTCATCATTTTACTTTACGTTATATGCTTAAGGAAACCATCTTCCAATTCTTCATTGTAATTTTATATAAAAAAAGGGGGGGGGGATCTCAAGGATTATGCATTATACGAAAGATTCGATGGAAATCAATTTTTGTCAATGCGACTCAATTCGTTGCATTTGAACGAAATTATTAGAACGATATTTTGTAATATCGGTATCACGCGCTTTCTTAGTTTTTTTTTTTTTCTTTTTCTAGGGTCCAATTTAAACGCGAATACATAATATTTTCTCGTGATTAATTCGAGCGTGATATAATAATGAATACACTTAAATCACATATTACACAAATTGTTATAATTCGATGATATGAAATAAATCCTATTTGAAAAGAAATATCAAGTTGGTTCTTTAAATAGAAACATTCCAACCCGTTAAAAGCATTGATACATCTATTAATATACTTAGAAACATACGTATGCAAATGAAATTTAATAGGATACTTTTAAAGTATCCGTATATATTTTAAGTCAGCGATAAAGTTAGTCATGCATTACTCGAGTAGTTGTTCTAATGGTAGTAGTAGGTCGATATATCTCGATATTTCACGATGAAAAGAAATAAAGAAATAAATAAAGAAAGAAAGAAAGAAAGGAAGAAATAACGAATATGCGATTAGTCGTACCAACCTGTTCGTAATCAAGACTGGCGGTGAGCGTGAAGACGCCGGTGTTGGGATTGAGAGAAAAGACGTCGTTCGCCCAATCGGATATTAACGCGTAACTTAATTGGCTGTTAGCACCTTCCGCATCGGCATCGCTTGCGACGACCTGCCCAACTCGACTTCCCCTCGGCATATTCTCAGGTACGTCAAACGAGTAAGCGCTCACGTGGAAGGTCGGAGCGTTATCGTTCGTATCGGTCACCTGCAATCATTAACGTTTCATTTTTTACATTAATTTTTACATCAAAATCGATACAAAAATATACAATTATTATATCTAATGATATATGAAATGAAGAATTGAGTGAGATATATATCGTTAAATAAAAATAAAATTGATCATTTATATTTATATTAATGTAATACAGATATATTATGTACAATACAAATCTCAAGAATTTGATTAATTTTTATAACAATAAAATTAAACGAATGTTAACGAACTAGTACACATTTAATTGATTACTCATTAATGCATTTCTATCAAATACTGATAACATATTTATTTTCTGACGAGTATAGAAATTCAAAAAAGTGTGGTGGCGGGGAGGGGGCGGGTGTAAGAAAATTCGCTTATGTTAGTAGATCTACAAATCGAAGAGGTAAGGAAGGGACATTCGTCAGAGTGACGTAGAAGGTTGATGACGAGGATGGTAATAGAAAGCAATTCGTATCTATCCATCGTCCAGCCAAATTGCCGGTGCAACCTGAGAGAAGGATAGAAAAGAGTTGAGTTGAGTTAAGGTAAGGTAAGGTAAGGTAGGGTAAGGTAAGGTAAGGTAAGGTAAGGTAAAAGGAAAGGGAAGGGAAAGGAGTTGGGTTGTGGTGGTGCTCTACGTCGTGTCTATCCACGGCGCATACCAAAGAGGCAGCAGCGGAGCTGAGCGACCATGAGCCGGCCGATATCAACCGGTGAAAGACCGAGCGGAGGCGGGCACGGTTTGATTAAGGAGGGCTCCAAGACGTTTGCAAAAAGTGACGGTGCCTCGAGAGACGCAGGAGAAGAGGATGCTTCCAGATGGAAACAGGTCGACGATGGATACTGCGAGCGAGTTGAGTAGAAGAGGTAGGTGGGGGGGGGAGAGCCTGTAGCAGCGGGATGAAGGAAGAAGAAGGGATGTTGGACGAGGACGAGGACGAAGAGGAAGAAGAAGAAGAAGAAGAAGAAGAACAGGAGGAAGAGAAGGATTGGGGTTGGAGGAGGAAGAGGTTGAAGAAAGGAGTAGAGGTTGTTGGGTGCGGCGGGTGGGAGAAGGGGCAGATTCCGCAAGAGCGGGCCTCTTTCACGGGGCCCCAAAGAGCAGCAAGCTATGATCGGGTCTGGCATTCCTTTTGCCTTTAAGAGACCCGGATAGAATAGCCGCGTGCGTCTCGTGCCGGAGTCGGAGTCGGAGCCGGCAATTCGGTGCCTTCTTAGCGAACGGGCTCCTTTAAAAGAATTCCAGCCATTACGCGTCATAAGGATAATTTTTGCGATTGTCTCCGAAGGTTCCTCTTCTCTTCCTCTTTCCACTACTACTACTACTACTACTACTACTACTACTACTACTACTACTACTACTACTACTACTACTACTACTACTACTACTACTACTACTACTACTACNACTACTACTACTACTACTACTACTACTACTACTACTACTACTACTACTACTACTACTACTACTACTACTACTACTACTACTACTACTACTACTACCACCACCACCATCTTCGTTAAACGACCAACCGGCTCCGCGTTTTTTATCGCCTGGATCGTTTCGCCAGACCCCGAGTAATGAATTATAAGGCGGAGATCGAGGGGACTCTTCGCGGCTTTTGCTACCTCTCTTGGTTATCTTTATTCTTTTATTTATTTCTTTTTTTCTTTCTCTCTCTCACTCTCTCTCACTCTCTCTCACATAACAGTGTTAATGATTGTACCGATGTATGTAACCACCCATCTATTACTCGAATAATTGTATTGATACATTTCTTTAGAATTTTACTTTACATCTACCAAAAATTTGCTTTATTTTTCCTTTTAAAAGAATTTGAACAAAAAAAAAAGAAATATAATACTTTTGGTCTACGAAGTTGGTAGTATTGGTCTGGTCTCCTTAATATTTTTCCCCAAAGCCAGTCGCTTTTACCTCTCTTTTTAAATGGAATCTCGGCAACCCTCCCCTCCCGTCAATGACTTTTCTAATTTCTTTAGGGACCTTTAAAATGTATCCCGAGAATTCGAGCTTGAATGAGAGTCTCCTTTAAAGAGTGACTTTAGGAATCCACTATATACCACTTTATCTAAACTTTTAACGTATTTCTCTCTTTTTTTCCTTTCGTAAAAGATATAGAGCCTACAGTTTACTACCTGAGTTAGTTTGTAAGAGTCCTCGTAATGGAATAAGAGTTTCGGGTTGTGTTGGAATAGACGTGAAAAAAGAGTATACGTCATCTTTCACTATTTCTTTCATTCTTTTTCTTTTTCTTTTTCTCATTTTTACCCTACCGAGCGGAAATTCGCGTCAGACATTTCGACTCCATTTCCTTTTCATTCGTTTCTTTTTTATTTCTTTTCTTTTTTCTTCTTTTTCTCTTCTCATCGTCCCCAAGATTCTAGTCGAAGTAGAATCGATCGTAAACGATGAACCATAGGATTTATGGATTACCGAGTTGTACCTGGTGGTGTAGTTCGTTTTCTACGAGCAAGTTTGTGCTGGTCACGGTACGCTGCTTAAACGGAGTATTACGGACTTTAAAGCCCCAAGCTTATCCAATTACTCGGTGTATAACGACGAGAATACCGGATACATTTGCGTATCGATATTACTATTCCTTACGATCGTTATGTATTGATAAATCACGTTTTTCCTCGTGCATTTATGTTCCAAATCATTTGTTCCGATTGATTATCAAAGAATTTCATTAGCAATATCATATATACACATATATATATTTTACAATTTATTATTACAGCTCATATATATACAATGAACAGTTTAACCCTTTATAAATCCGATTTTGTTCTTCTTACGAATAAAATAAAATTTGATAAAAAATAAATTAATAATTGTCTAAAGAATACACCCATATTTCAAGCTACAATTGACGTGATTTTATCTTTTAAATATCTTTTATAATTCACATTTACTTTTCGTGAAAAAAAGAAAAAAGAAAAAAAAAGAGAAACAAGACTTGATAAATGTTTTAAGATAGATAAAATGATAATTAATTGTTTGAAAAGAGGGTAAAACTCATAGTCGTTGTCTTTGTCGTCGTAGCTGGGGGTTATTACGATGCCGTGCAAGTATCTATCTACTACCGTCTCTAGTTTCAGCATTATCGGTTGTTACGAAACGGTCGGGTCAGACTATGGCGCGTTATTCCTGAAGGCCATTAATTATTCTTCGACCCGAAGGAGCCGTAAGATCGCGAGGATCGTTCGTTCGTTCGTTCGGTAGGGCTCTAGGATTTTTCTTTTTATTTTTCTTCTTTTTTTTTTTCTTCTTTTTCTTCTTCTTCTTCGTAATCACGAACTTTGTGCTAAACCGTGATGCTCGAGAAAGTATTCAATGAATTTTCGTATACTTTAACCACCATTCTTTGGTAGAATTATTATATGGTCTTTTAGAAATAAAAACAGAGAATCACACGCGGGAAAGAAAAAAAATTCGTCATCGGTATGTTTGCATGTTTGATAATGGTTACTATTGAGCAACAGATTATACAGTTATAGTAGGAAGTTAAAGAATAACCTTTCGACATCTAAAACGTGTTCTAATATATTACCTCGTTCGAAAAGTATTGTAATTTTAATTTTTTTTTTTACGAACGATCTAATAAACCTTGATTTAATCCTACTCGATGTCCTACACCATCTTATTACTTTCTTTCTTCTTCATTCGAACTCCTATCTCTAATTGACGTATTTCATGTCCAAACTTCGAGATTGTTATAATTTTTAATTACGCGAATGACCGCGTCTAATAAATTTTTAAATTATATATATATTAAATTTATAATATTATTATATTAAATAATAAATAATATATATATTAATTATTATCAAAAATTATAAAAATACATTTTTGATAATAATTAATATAGAGGACAAATATATTCGTCAAAAGTTTGAAAGTAACGACAAACATAATGGCAAACCACGTTTTCTTATCGTCATCAAAGAGAAAAAAAAAAGAAAAAAAAGGAAAACAGCAAAAAAATAGTAAGAGAGAAAGAGAAAGAGAAAGAATAAGAAAAAGTTCTCGAAAAAGGCGGCTGACTAACCTGTATGGTCAAAGTTATGTCGGTGTGTTGCAATCCATCGTCGGCACGAACCTTCAGCACGTACTTTTCTCTGATTTCTCTGTCGAGTGCCTCGGCCAATCTCAGTTGGCCGGTGGTCGGATGCAACTTGAAATGACTCTCGATCTCGTTCTTTGATTCGTGCTCGTTCGTAGAGGTGTTAGGTCGTAATGGTGATACCAAAGTATATGTCAAAGTTCCTATGGTGTCCGGATCGTAAGCTTTCAACACGGTAATCACGGTGTTGGGCGGTGCTTCTTCGGAAATTTTAAATTTCCACGGACCTGGTCCCCATGTCGGTGCCACGTCATTTTTGTCTAAAACCGTCACGCGAACCTGTAATTCAAAAAATAAACAATAAAATATCGATTCTTGACATATCCCCCATTTTTCAAAATACTTTATCACTCTTACGCTAAATTGGAACGTAACTCTCGTCGTTTCTAATTTGCATTAATAATTTACCTACCATCGTTTCTATCTCTCTCGGTGATAGACAATATGTAATAGAAACAAAATGTTCTGGATGCAAATGGTCGAAATGACATCCAAAAAAAAAAAAATATGAATTAAATACAATTCGATAAATGGAATCGATTCTTTCTCTTACTCACAATGAATTCTCTTCCTTTTCTAATTACATCACCCCTAAGGACATTATCTATCGGCAGGTAAGGATACAAACGAGATTTTGATCTTATTAATTCACGAAACGTTCGTTCCTTTTGGTGTCGCGAGGATTGCGAACGTTCGGTTCATATTTCGTCGAGTAATGAAGTGGATCTTTTTGTCGAGCTCGTAAGAAAACGATCCGCCGTAAAACACTCGAGAAATATCTCGAGGAAATGAAGTGAAAGGGGTGGGGGAGGGGGAGGGTGTACTCAGTGGCGAACGTTAATCAATTCCCTCGAATGGAACACAGAATCTTTTACCTTGGTAAGCTAAAGGAAAAGGCAGCACTTATTTAATGAGAATGGTAACTTAGTTTAATGCCCTTAAGCCTGAAATATAATTATGCGTAATCAATATAGTACTATAAACGAACGTGTACGAAAGATAAAGAAAGAAGAGGGGGTTGGGCAGGGAAGAGGAACTGAGGGAGAAAAGAGGAGGAGGAACGTTTGTAGTCGGCCGAAGTCACGTTATGCATGCGAAGAATCGTGAGAAAGAGGACTTTTTCGATTCCGGCCTTATGCATGTCTCATTTCATTAAATTCTCAGTCACGTCAGCGTTCGAGGTTTATGCGAGTACCAGAAGCCTCCTTGTTGGTATATCGGAACATGAAGAATAAGAAGAAGAAGGAGAAGGAGGAGGAGGAGGAGAGAAAAAAAAGTAGACAAGTTTAGTGGGTTAAGAACTATCTATTTAAGAATTATTCGACAAAGTTCTCGGGATGATTTCTTTATCCGAAAATTTCTAATCATTTTCCTTTAGTTTCGATTAATATTTAATAATTTCTCAAAGCATTGACTTAGTCAGTTAGCTATTTGTAATAATAATAATAATAATAAAACACAATTTCATTGACATAGATTTGGTGTATTTTGTATTTTTGTTTTGTTTAATAAAGCACGTGGGCGAGAAAAAAGCGAACGACGACGATGACTGCTGCGAACCCAAGTAATTGATATTGGAGTTACATAAATACGTCTGTAAGTAATTTCTATCTCTTAGAAATGAGAGGTTTAAAAGATAGTTTTTGAACGCATCCATCTTCTCTGTTAATAATTAGTTGGACTCTCGTTGTCATTGACGAAGTAGATGGCATCGATTATTGGCTAGGCACGTTACAAAGTGAAAACGGATTTCGAAGTGGTTGTAATAAAGTATCCTAAGCTATCGGTGTCTTTCTTATCCAGATATATATGTATAGTAGACACATACATATCTTTGGCAAATAGCCGAGGCACGTTTCGCGGTAATAAATCCGACTAAACTAAATGGGAAGTCAATAAAACATTATAACTGTCCTTATTGTCAGAAAAATTGTGTCCAAGATGAAGAAGCGCACGTAACGCGTCTTGGATGGTCGAGTAAAAGTAATAAAAAAAAAAAAGAAGAAAAAAAAGAAATGAGAGAAAATAAATAGATGAAAAAAAAATCATCTCGAGAGGAATAGATTATTCGTTTGTAATTTATTTGCATATTTGTTAGCAACGTATGACATACACACACACACACACACACACACACACAATATATGTAAAATAGCGTGAAATACAGAGGCCAAAGATAAATTTATAAGAATTTGAAACTCTCAATTCGCATGGATCGAAGTTTTCGACCAAACTCTTATCGAGTAGTAATTATATAGAATCGACGAGAGTCGTTAAATCGATTATCGACAGCCCGACGATCGTATCTATATTTTAACGCGGAACTATGCTTTCTCACGATCTTAAGATAAACTTAATAGTTGAGCATGTTCGATCGCGTATTATCGCGATAACCTTGCTAGAATCGATTGAAAATTATTGTTACTTTATGTAAATACGAATCGATAATCGAATAATGTATGAAATAACGTTTTGCTTCTTTCCTTCTTCTTCTTTTTTTTTTTTTTTTTACGTATCCTAAAAAAGCATCTAATGAAATTTCATTTTGTTTACAGATATTTTTCTCGATAAACTATTTGTCCGACGTATACAAAATTTCTGAATGATATTGAAGATTTCTCAAAGAAATGAACGAATAATCCTTGAAATATATAATATCTCCACGTAAGTTTCGATTGGTTCGATTATCAAAGGATCACTGAGGGAGGCATCAGAGAATAATAATAATAATAATATAAAGAGGAAGAAAAAATAGAATCGAGAAGAAAGAGAAAGCAAAGCTAGCAAGTAAAGCAAAGCAAAGCAAAGCAAAGGAGCAAGTAAGTAGGAATGAAAGAAAGTTTAGTTTCTCTTTCTCAATATGAAAGAGAAGGGGGGAGAGGAAGAAGAAGAAGAAGAAGAAGAAGTAAAGAACACAGCGACACCGGGCAACGGGGCCAACAATAAGCGGACAAATCAGTGCGCTCATATAGCTGTCTCTCGGATATTTCTTCTCTACTTCGAAAGGACTATCTGAGAGAGGGTATATGGGCGGTAAGAAACGCCCGGAGAGAGCATTCGGAGTGCAAGGAAAGATGGTATCTGCGTCAGCGCGGTCGGGGATCAGCGGATCGGATCGAGTCGCTCAGCGGGGGTTTCTTTGGGTCATGCACGAAGTGAGTCCCATTCTTCTGCTTCCCCTCCCCAGCCCCACTGCACCCCTCATCCCACTAGCCTACCACCCTAAACTCCCCTTCACCCCACCTCCCCAACTTCGCTCGACATCCTCGGCCACGACTGCCACCACCACCACCTCTTTCGTCGATACATTCTTCTTCTTCTTCTTATTCTTCTTTCTCTTCTTCTTCTTCTTCGAATACTTCCTCTGTGCCTCGCCTCGAGTCTACGTCGTTGTCCCTTTTACCAAACGGGGTCCTATGGGTTCTCTATGAGGGGTCGAATCACTGACATCACCCGATTAATAATGTGTCTTCGTGGGGGCCCCCATAGACCACGACAACGACGACGACGACGAGGAGGAGGACAACGACAACGAGGAGGAAGAGGAGGAGTTTAAGGGTACACTATAATTCTCTATATATAACGGACCCCCAGACAATAAGATATATATCTATGATACGTTACGAGACTAATAGTTCCTTATATTTAGAGTTTTGTTTGTTCTTTAAGTTAAAATATCGCGTCACGATAATTTGACAGTGAGATAAATTTAAGTAGAAAAGAAGCAACATTAAAAAATTGTGGGCGTCACTATCTTCTTCTTCTACTTCTACTTTTACTTCTACTTCTTCTTCCTGTCATTAATGGAATTTGCTAAATTTGAATACATATTATTAACTCACGAGAATTATACTCTTTAAGATTTATCGGCAGAGTTGTGTTTCTATGTCGGCCATTTTGATTCTTCCCCGTTCATCTCAGCTCTCTCTTTCTCTCTCTCTCTCTCTCTCTCTCTCTCTCTCTCTTTCTAAGTTTGGTCCTTTCTCGTCCTAAGCAAGAAATCGTCCTACACGAGAGAGAGGAGGCCTCATGATGGAGAGTTGTAAATGGCCGAGAGATGGAACGAGGTTTCATGGGTCGCATATAATATTCCCGTCACTCGTTTGTACTCCTCTTATGAAAGAGAGAGAGAGAGAGAGAGAGAGAGAGAGAGAGAGAGAGAGAGAGAGAGGAGAGGTTGAACACAGCATGGACGTATTTATCGGTGAGTCAAATTGTCTTTGGAGTGACGGTGTCGTCGGAGGAAGAAAACAGGGCTATTAGTCGTGAGTATCGTCGATATATCTTATTGTCTTTCAAAAGTAAAATTACAAGACGTCTTGTAAGTCAGGGTGGGCCCCTGTGTCTTCCTCTTCTTCTTCGTCTTCTTCTTTACAAGACATCCTTTTATTTACACATTAAGTATCAACCATCAATATATACAACCCAAACCATCATTCTCATCCCTCATCTTCATCCTTCATAAGAAAATCAAAGTTAGAAATTTGACATCATTTACGATCTTAACTTCCCACGAATAGAAAGTGTCATAGTTTAAGTAATCGCTTTAACGAAAATATTTTAATAGAATTATACGATAACACATTATATTCGAAATATAAGATATGGTTTTAAAGTATAAAACAGCAGTTGGTCGGTCGATAAATGCACGCAGTAAGTAAACATTTAAAACTCGTGTGTAGGTTTTGCGAGCTCGTTTGGGTTTCGCGAACGGGCTTCGGTCTCGAGAAAAGAGAGTACTCCGACGGTACTGGCCGTAATTAATTACGTTTCGCCGACTTCGTAATCGATATCCGTGTCTCTCCTTTTTTCTCTCTCTCTCTTTCTTTCTTTCTTTATCCCTTGTGGTGTCCTTGAACTTGTCTCACCAGGGACCTGTTTATTCCTTTTTCACGAGTTCTTTCCGGTTTTCCACCGGTTCTCGCACGTTTCATTCTCTTCTTCTTCTTCTTCTTTTTCTTCTGCAAATTTGAATAGAAGTCGTTCCAATAGAAGGTGTTACCAACCAAACCAAATCAAAGAAGAATTTCTAATTTCTCTTCTCTGGGAAGGCTCATAAAATACTACGAACATCGGAATAACGTAACGTGTATTAATGAGGATTCTTTATGCACCACTGAACTCCAGATCGCAGCTTCTCTCTGTTATGTAATCGTCCATAACCAGTTATCCTTCCTTGTAAGTATGTATCTTTATTACGAATGATATGTTAGTTAGTATGATATGTTGACTCTTTTGCATATGTACTATCTGGAACACTTCATCCCTTTTCCCTCTTT